AAAAAAAATAAAATAATTAAAAAATTTTAAAATAATAAATAATAAAATATAAAAAATTATAAAAATAATAAAATTAAAAATAAAAGAATAAAATAAATAAATAAAAATAAAAATAACCAAAACAAAAATTTTAAATCCTTTAAAAATAAAAAACTTAAAAAAATAATAATAAAGGATAAAAAATTATAAAAATAATAAAAAAAAAATAATAATAATAATTAAAAATTTTAAAAATAATAAATAAAATATAAAAAATTATAAAAATAATAAAATTAAAAATAAAAAAATAAAAAAAATAAAATAAAAATTAAAAAATTAAAAAAAATAATTAAAAATTTTTAAAATAATAAATAATAAAATATAAAAAATCAAATAAAAAAATGAGTAAAACAAAAATCAAAAATATTGAAAATTTTAAAAATAATTAAAAAAATAATAATAACAAAAAATAGAATAATTCATTGTTACCTTGTAGTTGTTGTTCAGCTTCTTGTGCTCTACCATCAGCAATCTTAGCTTGCAACAAATAATCAACTCCACTAGTAAATACACTAATATAGAAATTGATTATTGATATAACTCCTTACCCTTTGTTTGTGATTGTAGCACTCTGTTCCTCTAGTTTACGAACCTATATAAATTAAAATAAGTAAATAAATAAATAAATAAATAAATAAATAAAAATAGCAGAAAATAAAATAAAATAATAATAATTAATTACTAGTAATAATGTTCCACTGAGGCTTTCCTCCAATTCGTTGACTCTGTTGTTACTTTCTTTAAGTTCGTTTTGTGAGTGGGCGTATTCCGCCTAAAAAAAGAAGAATGCACAAAATGTGGTAAAAATGTACAATGCAATTAGTATAATAATTGTAACAATAATCTAAGTAATTATATTATTAGCATACCTTTAAATCAGATATTTCATTCTCTAATTTAAGTCTTTCGCTCAACTCAGTCACATTCCTTTGTTGCAATGCTGTGACGTCAGTCTCCAATATCTTGACCAGTTGATCGTTTACTAATCTTTGTGATCTCTCCTGATTTAATTCGGCCATTACAGACTGAATGCTTTCTTCTCTCTCTCTTCTCTCCCTTCCAATATTTGCTAGCTGCATTAGCTCATTAATATCAATGGTAGTATTAGTACTTGAGTCAACTAGTATTGGGTTGATGGTTTGATTGGAGGATTCACTAGTTGTTAATATATCAGTCTGTGATTCAATATCAGTGTTAAGTATCAGATCAGTGTTAACACATTTATCATCTTTTATTATGACATAATCCTCTTGAAGGTGCTGCGGCTGCGAAACACTCTCTTCTTCTTGAGGGAGAGGTTCGTTAACCTCTTCCTGCATGAGTGGCTCATTCTCTTTTTCTTGAGGGAGTGGCTCATCATCTTCTTCGGGGAGCGACTCATTCTCTTCTTCTTGAGGGAGTGGCTCATCATCTTCTTCTTCGGGGAGCGACTCATTCTCTTCTTCTTGAGGGAGTGGTTCATTATCTTCTTCTTGAAGGAGTGGTTCATTATCTTCTTCTTGAGGGAGTGGTTCATTATCTTCTTCTTGAGGGAGTGGTTCATTATCTTCTTCTTGAAGGAGTGGTTCATTATCTTCTTCTTGAGGGAGTGGTTCATTATCTTCTTCTTGAGGGAGTGGCTCGTTATCTTCTTCCTGGACGAGTGGCTCATTATCTTCTTCTTGAGGGAGCGGCTCATTATCTTCTTCTTGAGGGAGCGGCTCATTCTCTTCTTCCTGGATGAGTGGTTCATTAGCTTCTTGTGGAACTGGCTTGTTAGTTTCATCTTGAGGGGGTGGCTCACTATCGTTTTGTGGGAGTGGCTCATCATCTTCTTCTTGAGGAAGTGGTTCATTCTCTTCTTCCTGGACAAGCGGCTCATTAGCTTCTTGTGGAATTGGCTTGTTAGTTTCATCTTGTGAGAGTGGCTCATTATCTTCCTGCGGCTGTGGAACACCTTCTACTTCTTGTGGAAGTGGTTCTTTATCTTCTTGTGGCTCAGTAACATCTTCTTGTGTGCGGTTGCCTTCTTCTTGTGGGGATGGGTATGGCTTGGTAATATCTTCTTGTTGTAGCTCGTTACCCTCTTCTTGTGGCTTGCTATCTTCTCGTGAGAGTGGTTCGTTATCTTCTTGTGGGAGTGGTTCATTTTCTTCCAGTGGGAGTGGCTCATTTTCTTCTTGTGGGAGTGGTTCATTAGTCTCATTGTATTCAGTAGTCGATTCAATCTCATTCTCTTCATTTTGTGGGTGTGGCTCATCCTTTCTTAAAGGCACTTCATTCTCTTGTGGCTCATCCAACTGATCGTCCTGTGGGTCTGGTTTATCTACTAAGCTTTCTTCTGAGCTGCATGTATCAATTATTGGATCCTGTTCCTCTGGTTCTTGTTGCTCTAAAGATTGAGGATCATTTTCCGGCTCATTCTCCTGCAAATGCACCATATCCAGTAGTGGGTGTGGCTCCTCTCCCTGCATATCCGTCCTAGTATCTTGTGGGCATGGCTCCTCCACTTTGTTGTCGAGGAAATCCTCAATCTTATCCATTAGGAACAAATCCTTAGAGAGTGAGGCTGGGTCCATTAAACTCAGAGGTGGAGGGGATTTCTCTGTAGACGGTTTTGTTTCTCCTCCAGGCAAATCGTCGAAATCGACATCTTCAAACGAGGCCTCTTCTTCCTCTATCTCTTCCTCTCCCTCCTCTTCTCCGTCTTTTATTAATATTCCTATCTTTCTCTCTAGGACTCCCTCAGTGTCTAGTGTACGCAGTAATGATGACACGTCTGATACCACATACCCTCCTCCTCCTCCACTGTGCCCTCCACTCCCTCCATTATTTGTTTCTTTATTTTCTTCCTTTTCTTCGGGGCTTATCGTTTCTGGCGGTGTCTCAAAACCAGCCGAGTCTGAGTCGCTGTCTTGATCATCACTGGTGTCCCCGGGGATATTCCGAGGAGGAGAAACAGCCACTTCTTTTTTCGATTCTTCTCCCTCCATTATTGAAAATGAGCCACACCCCTACCAAATGTTAACGCCCACACACTTATTAAAAAGATTTGGATAATATTATTGGAATAATAATAACATGATAATAACAATAATAATAGTAAAAGTTTTGAGTGTAAATGTGTAACTTATTTCCAATTCATTATACATGCACTGTTATTAATACTAATCATTTTTTTGTTTATCTTCCACGGAAATATTGAAATGCGTAAATAGCCAAGGAAGCGACTCCAACAACCAAAAAGAAATTTGGAGTTGAAGCAATTCGATTTAGCACACTAGCAGCAGGTAGCTGAATAAGCTGACCCTAAAAAATGAAAAAAATATACATTATTTTATAGCAGTACAAGGTTTAGTTTTATATAAAAAAGAATTGATTGTCACAGAATTACACCAACAATAGTAATAATTATATATACATATCCCTGCTGCTCACCCATCCTCCAACTCGTTTTAGCATGTCATAGAACTTTGCTTTGAGGAAGAACTTGACTAGAAAGCTAGCAATTACTGCAAGGACACTCAAGAGTCCAGAAGAACTAAAGTATTTAGAGATGTAGTTTTTACACAAGTGATAACAGTAGCCTAGTACAGCAGCAATGCGTCCAACATTGAGCTTAGCTAAAGTAAAATAATAATAATAATAATAATACTAATAATAATATATTATATTCATGATGAATTAATCATAAAAATAATTTATGCACAAATAACGTACGTAGTCCAAATTCATCCCATTCAAAAACATTCTGTAGTACAGTCGAGAAAGTAACGAATGCTTGGTCAGGATTGTCACTATACATTTGCATGATGTCCTCAAAATGGCCGCTGTACATTGAGTCTATCTCATCTCCAAGCTCAGCTAGACGTCGCCCGACAGCCTTAGCATTGCTCTCTCCTCCTCCTCCTCCATCTGATTCACCTTTAAAATAAAAATAATATTTGAAACTTAACAGTGATATCAGACCTGGGTCAAATAAAAATAGTATTTGTAATTAGTCGTATTTAAATACTTTTGAAAGTATTTGTATTTGTAATTTGAGTTTTTGTAACAGGAAGTATTTGTATTTGCAATTGAAATACAGCAGGGAAGTATTTCAAAACACAGCAAAATACTTCAAAATACTTCAATGTGAATGAAGATGCTGTTTGAGTGACAAAACTTTGAAACACTAACATTCATTAAATGCAATACATGACTATAACTAAATATTATTGATTATACATGGATGCATAATAAAAAGAAGCTGTCAATTTACTTGATTGATTAATTCATAAAACTACGTAGTTAATAACTGTCCATACTTGAGAAGAAAGTATTTGTATTTGTAATTGAAATACATGCATGCAGTATTTGTAATTGTATTTAAATACAAAGCTGAAAACAGTATTTGTATTTTTGCTTTTGTACAGTATTTGTATTTAAATACTTCTGCGCTGTATTTGACCCAAGTCTGAGTGATATACACTGAGGAGCGGTATTTAATTCCCATATCTCTTTATATAGCTGCTTTCTTACTGGTAGCTTCGCTTTCTGTCCTTGCTTTGTTGATCTCTGCCTCCCGAAAGGACTCCACTTCATCTCGGGATAGTTTCTCGTCTTTCTCTGCTCTCCTGAAGACGTACTCGTACAAAGCTCTCTCAGTTTCTCTTCTCTCCTCCTCGGAGAGCTCGTCTAGACTATCAGTGGCTCCTGTCCGAAAAGCTTGCCTCCTTCTCGACAGCTCAGCTTGGCCTCCTTCTCTACCCCCCGTCGCCATATTGTTTTTTGACAAAAAGGAGTGGCTTGTTAATTTGTAGGTGTGGCTCGCAAAGGGCCGCCCACGCACTAAAGAAAATGCCATAGAAATGCCAAAACCACTTGCTTGTGGGTAACCGCGTACGTACCAGAATACGCACATCCTGTCTGTGGCCGTGGTCGATCACACATCACATGTTTCAACCATGAATATCATTACTCGAGCTCTCTATAAAAAGAAGCAAATTAGACAAGATCTACACTTAAAAGCTAAAAAACCTTCAAGCAAGGAAAAGAAGAATCAAAAGCCAATCATGAGCTCAGTTATATCACAGCAAGAGGAAAAGCAGTCCACATCATCTGCAGGAGGAGTCAAAGCACTCACTCAATCATACATCATTGAACAACTCAGACAGAATGGTTACAAGTCACTAGCTGCAAGTCTCTCAAAAGACCAGCTTACCATATCAGAAGAAATGCACAAAATAGTCAAGAGAATAAGCAATCAGCTAGCACAAGAGAAGAAAGAGCAGATGGAAGACATTTGCTTTGAGCTCCAGCTGACCAAGGAGACACTCACCGAGACCTTCAACGGAATCTCTCAAGAACTATTCAAAGACGGGATAAAATGGGGCAGAATAGTAACCTTCATAGCATTCAGTGGAGCAATGGCTGTCTACTGTGCTCAAAATTCACTCGGTGATCAAGTGAGCGATGTAATCAGACAGACTGGATCCTTCATACAGGACAACCTACACCAATGGATACTCAATAATGATGGATGGTGCGGATTCGTTAGACATTTCGACGAGCAAGATATCAATCTTAACTTTTTTGTACCGGCATTCTTCATAGGGCTAGGAATGACAGCACTAGCAGTGGCTGGCAGTTTTCTCGCATTTAAAAGGAAATACACTGGAGGTCTATTATGATGGCTCACAAACTATTATAATATGTGTTTGTATTGTACTTATATTTGTCATTATTTGTATGTTTGTATCACTTATTTATTATTACACAATACACTTCAAACATCAACTGAAAAAGTCAAGCAAACAGCGTTACTCTGCGCAATATACTCATGCATAAAGTGATGGCTATGTCATATAGATGGAATTTCATTCTGCACCTTGCTGATCATCCCATCATAAAACTATAGTTAAACAGCTTGAGCCAGATAGGAGCAAAAATGAACTTTTAAGTCCCAGGAATATTTCTATCTATATGATATAACATGTAAAATCTCAAAACACACACACACACACTTCATTTCTTTTGGAAAAGTTACAAAAAGAACCTTCAATAAGTTCTAAAAGCAAAAGTAAAAGATAAAGCCATGATTGAGTAAACAACCGGTGAGCATCAAGCAGATACTGGCCAATACACAAATACCACATATCAGCAATCATTCACTTGATAGTACTGTACTGTATGCTGCCAGTGTAGCTTGAGAAAACTAGAACTACTACACTGGAATCACTAATAAGGGATACCTGAGATAAGGGCATATACATATGCTTCTATCATAGAATAGTATCTGTAATGAACCAATTGGCACAAAAGTGGCTCAGATATAAGGACTGAGCACACAAGTAGTGTGGTCCCAAATATCGATATCCAGAATAGGGGCTCCACCATTTCCACCATAAAAACATTCCTCTGTATCTATCCAGTGCATTGTTTCATGGCAAAAGAACTTGGCATATTCACAAAACAGCTCGAGAGGACAAAGTTCACATTAAAAATATTTCCACTGACAGGAAATTATTCTAATGGATGTGTCTGGATACAAGTTATTTTTAGGCATTACTCAATGTTATTGCAAGCTGCATTGCATTGTGGTTAGGCTTAATTATAATTAGTTAATGTAGTACACTCCTGATTGTTTGTGGTCAGCTGCAAGCTGGTGGCAGGCCTTAACATACCATTTTATACTAAACTAATTTACATTAGTGTTTGCAATGATGCAATTGCTAAAAAGGACAGGGATATTATATACAATAGGTAGAGAGTCTAGAGTCTAGTCCAACAGGTTGTTATTGTCCCAGAATGAATCTCCAATAATGTCAACATGCGAAACAACAACTCTTTTCCTTTTCCTAAAGGTAAATCCCTCTCTTGTTGATTCCATAACACTGTCACCGACAGCAGATTCAGTATTAGCCTTCCCAGGATCATTACCGGAGTCTCCTACACTGGAGCCATCATTCTATGTACACAGAGACAGACAGAGACATATAAGCAAGTATTACCCACCCAGTGATGAATGCATGTGTGTGGCAAGTGGCTACTACTAATTGCTACATCAAGTTGATCCACATACATGGACATGATGCTCAATTATAATAATACATTAAAAGGTCTCATCTCTCTCTCTCACTCTTTCCGCATTATACATTCACATGTAAATTATCATGCAAACGTGTGTTTACTTCTTTCCCTCTTCTCTCCCTCCAAATTCTCCCAAAGAGAGACAGAGAGTCAGAGAGACAGAGAGTTCAAATAAACAACCCAATAATCTGCTGATGGACAGAGCTACAAATAAACTGTGACATGGTGCTTATGCATTTCACTAAGATGACAATCACAAGACATTCAATGCACATAATACTCAATAGCTATTAGCTGCTACTATAAATTATAATTATAATCATGCAGGTCTGTCTCTATGGCTAGTGGTGGTTTTTCCCCTTCACAACTCGCAACACTTTGAATGGTATGACAAACATGTTACTGCAAAGGTCACTTTAGACTTTAAACACAGGCCATATCCTGCTACATATATGAACATTAAAAACACAGACATACAGAGGGAAGGATGTGAACATCACATACAGAAAGTAATGGGGTTACAGTCCAGCTTAACTCATTGGACTAATACAAACACAGTAAAGGGCGATTCAGACTGGTAAAGCATTAAGAAAAGCAATATAAACCAATGGCCAAAGTTATTACTTAAGGACAGGGGCTATCTTAATGCTTTATACCTTATCTCAAGTATTCAATGTGAACCATTAACGGGACAGATAATGTAATTCCAAATATGCACACAGAATTAATTCCCCTATCTCTCTCACAGGATAATAGACTACTATAAATATTAATAGTAACAGGATATGCTGCAGGTGTGTGGTTCGAGCTTTTGCAGTGTCACCCTATGATAGCAGTAAATGGCTTTAATTGAATAAGGCTACTAGCATCACGTATAATCAGCTACAGAGAAGTGGGCACACGTATAATATTTACTAATATAGCTAATGAGATTGTCCTATCATGTGATATCAACATTATAAAATAAATAAATAAAATGAAAACAGTAGCTTCAAAGGTGCTGGAAATGTTATGTTTATGCTGCTAATAATTATGAATTGATCCCAATTAAATGCATACATACTTTGCCATACGTCCAGACAGCTTCAGTAGAGCCCCCGTGCTAATAAGGATACACACACCTCAAAATTAATGACTGTTGGCACAAAACTATACAAAAGTATGAGGACGTGCACTTCTGCATTAAGGACAGTAAGTGTCCCACGGTGTCCTTAATAAAAACACTCCTGTATTGAGAAGGCAGTTAAAGGCATCCTTAATAAAGAGGCTATACGTATACACACTGTGATCCTTACTGATTGTATCTTCTCATGATAATTCTCCCAGAGTAGGACACTGCCTTTCTTGAACTGCTCCGGCTCGTTGTTATAATTGATCCCAAACTCATTAAAAAGGATTTCATTCTTCTGAGAAGACTCTGTGCCCTGGGGGGAGATGGAGGATAAGGAGAAGGTAACCTGATATCATCCAACCATTCATCATATGTCACATAATAACAAGGAAATACACATCACATATAAAAATACCTATATAATAACACCTCCAGGCTACACTGAGTGGGTAGAAGTGGATCATTCTTTTACCCACTAATAATGTCTGACCTATACATCAACTAACAATGACCTCTAATAGTTTCATCGGAAGGCTTACGTGTACATGTACATGTACATTCCCAAGTTGTCGGTCAGTTCAAAGATATTACGCTAGAAATTCAAATGATTTCACACAATATTTGTGTACATGTACTTAATCTATTATTAGTCCATTATCATAAATTATATAATCTTTATTGAACACCAAAGCATGTAACAACTCAAGACATCAAAACATAGCCAGCTGCTATGTACAAACAAGTACATGTGTGCACACACACACACACACACACACACACACACTATATATATATATATATATAGTGTGTATATATTATATGCATGTACATATACTCACACACAAATAGAAGTGAAGGAGAGAGAGATATGTGAGATAGCTCTATACAGATGTGAATAAGGAGCAGGTGTGAGTACTGAAAGCAGTCATTACCATACAAGAAGAGTCGTTTGATGAGCAACAATTAGACACGTTTTAGAAAGGGAAATTATGAGATAAGAGAGTGAGAGAGTGAGTATAGGAAAAAGCAGAAGCCTCAGTAGCAATCGTCGGAGCAGGTGGCTTTTTCATCAATATGGATACTGTGGTGTAATACGTACCCTGTACATGTTGTGGTGTAATACGTACCCTGTACATGTACATGTACATGTAGGGCTGCCAAGAGGTAATGAGTGATTAGAGAGAGTGGGTGGAAGGTACGTGTGATTTCATATCTTGAAACCACAGATATAATGTTGTCAAACCTACAGCTCACATCCCAACAAATGACACAATAGCCCAAATATACGTAATAGAGCCCACCGCTTTTATGCGTGCGTAATAATACTAATACCCAAACACTGAGATATCTGCCCCAGGCAATCATATATATGCAATGTATATACATGTACACATGTAAACGTACATTAACAAAACAGCTCATTTAAAGGAAGTGATATAAGACTACTACAGACACTGTACAATGAGGGAGAGATAAAGATAAGGTTTGATCATCACCTTATTATAATAACAATGAAAGAACCTGCGGTCTTACTTGGCACCCAGCCACCCACATGTGGCAACACTAATAATCATTTATTAATGACCACTACTATCACTGCGAAGGGCTATACAGCACATGTACTAATATTACCCCCCTTAGTATGATATCCGCATCACTGAACTAATTAGTAGAGCATAACTATTTTACATAATTACATATTTTAAATCTTACAATGAGAGTAGAGGGGGTGCTAAAGTCCATGAATGCATGTACATGTAGTAGAAATGATGATGAAATAATATTACTAGTAATACTAGTAATGATAACAATAGTAATTACTGTTGTAGGGTACAAACTAACAGTGCATAGCAAGCCAAGCCTTGTTGAACTTTGCCTAAGGACACAAGTTTAATAATGAATAAATAAATAATAAATTTTATTATTTGTTTAAATGGAGTCAGCTGCAAAAGTGTCTATGTAAACACAAGCACGAGCTCCGTGTAATTTAATAAAATGAAATTAATAACTCCATATACACAGGTTGCTTTCATACTGACTGCCAATGGAACTGGCTGTATTGTCTATATTATTACCTATAATACCTCCATTCCATTGCACACCCTTTCTCACAACCCTCCCTTCCCAATTTCTGTCTCTAATCTCTCACTATTCTCACAAGCACCAACAGATAGACACATACAAACACGTACATACATAATATTATAAAATCTCTGTATTCTCAAAAACACATTTTTATTATACAAACAAGTCTTTATACACACCAAGTGTCGCTCTTCTTAAAATATTCAGACAGTTATTATAGCTAAGTTCTCATGAGGCAATAACATGTCACAAACAAGCCATGGTTACTATGACCACCACCACCACCACAAATTCTACTATCCAGCCTGCAGCCATACAGACTCTCTGTCACCATAAACACCAACATACCAACTAAATTAAACCTCAATCGGCTGGGACATCTTTTACCATGATAGGTCAGAGCTTATACTCTATGTAATACACATCACAACTTCTAATTCTACAATATCCCAATGTACTACTAGTTAACCCTCATTCTCAAGTACATGTATGTTATGAAGGTATTTTTTGTTTTCTCTCCCTCTTCCTCTTTCATTTTTTCTACTGTGTACAGCTAATGTAAGCAAGCACACACGAGCCCAAAGAATGCGTGGACATGTGATTGTTCTAATTCAATACTTAATGATTTAAAAAGCATTAACAATCAATTAACAATGAAAATCTTCCCATAAACATCAAAATATGCACTACTACAGGTAGTGTGGACAGAGGCTGTCACATGGATTGGGTCCAATGGTGACATCATTAATAATTCCCTGGTGCAAGTCACTACTGGACAGAATGTACACACATTCATTGCATTAGAGTACTACAATGAAACCTTTTTATTCTGGACACTATTACTCATTACTTTTCCTTAATAATACATATTACAGAAGTGCCTTCATTTCAAGAGCTACTTTGTACATATATATTATGAGATAATGAGAAGGTGAAAAGATGAGGGTTATACATGTAGCAGTAATTAGTGTCAGGTAGTATACTATCAGCTTCACCACCTGGAGGCATTTGCTCTCTCATGTGGTTAATGTCTGTTTGTTTAGTCAATGAGATTACACGTACATCCACACACAAAGTCACAAACACACATAATGTGGGTATGTGAGCAGTACATGTACATGTGTAGCTACAACCATACTTCCTTACATTTAATCTCTTCTGAGCTTCTTCATTCTTCAAACCAGACTCAACCAAAGACCAGAAGCAGGTATTATATAAATTATTAATGTGACCTGAGAGAGAGAGAGAGAGAGAGAGAGAGAGAGAGGAAGAGAGAGAGAATAACTTGTCAGCAGGTTATTACACACCATTCCAACAACAAGGCATCACTATACACTGTACTAAAAAGGTAAAGGAAAGTAAATTTACTATAGTCTATGGGCTATATTTAACTGATAAAAAGAAGTGGAGGCAGCAACAGTGACAGACGCATAATTCCAGCATTAATTAGAAAAGAAGACACGACACTCATACACAAAAGGAGAGTGTTTGTGTTTTTAATAGTATAAGTAGAGAATACCTAATAAAGGAGGAGAGGGGGAGAAACAGCCGTGCTCTGCTAGATAAAAAAAAGTAACACGTAGTAGGTTTCAGTTGTAATATGGACCATTATCACAAAATAATAATAATAATAATAATAAATTTCACTTTAGATTAAATAGTTGCTATTATCATTATCAGGACTTACAGTCGGCCTGTCTCCAGCTCAAATAGTCCCTCAAATTCTTTGCTGATGGATAGAGTACTATCCTGGAATCAAAAGCTGGCGGATATAGCAATGGAGTCTTCATAAATTGAGACCAATAGAAGACGTATGAGGCACTGAATAAAGACACCACCGTACTTAGCAGTTTACTAGGGAGAGAGAGAGTGGGAAAGGGTGAGAATGAGTAAAGAGTTGAGAATCTGCTCCTCTTAAACTAGTCTAGTCATAACTCAAAAAATACTAACTGGGATTGGCTCAAACTTTTTACATGGTATAAGGATATCAATATGTATCAGAAAATGTAATAAAAATTGGGGGTGATTTTGGAGTCATTTTTTGGAAAAAAGCATGGGCTATAGTACAGGGAAATTTTCAGAAATTGGCCCATTCTAGAAAATGGTCATAACTCAAAAATTTGAAGTCGGAATCAGCTCAGACTTTCTACATAAAAAACATGTAGCATAAGGACATCAATATGTATAGAAAAAAAGCATAGCCATATCATTAAAGATAGTACAAAGGAAAATATTGTTTTATTAAAATAATGGCAATAAATATTATTCCTTACCTGGCTCTTCTGCCAAATAAATTAGTCGATCTCTTGAAAATAAAACTATCACAAAAAAAACTTTGTCAAAAACACAATCGTCACGTTAAACTCTACCTGAATTCATCGCTTTGTCCATAAGCAATAAAAATATCTTGAAATTCTTGCATAACTGCTGACGCAGCCTTGTTCATCAAATTGAGGGCCAAAATATCGTTTGGTTTTGCAAAATTGTGAGCCATCGCAAACCTGTGAGAGAGAGAAGCGGTCGGAGAGAAAAAAAGAATAGAAAAAGGAAGGGGTAGTAATTAGTTATGCTAACAGGTTGTGACTAGAGTCTTAATCAGTTAATTTAATTAGGAACAATGTACATGCATATATATGTATAATAATAGTTTGGTGTCACTCTACACAATTATATTGACTTCCTCACCTCCCTCTCATCTCTCTTCCTCTCTATTGACCTGTGAAATCCTCTACCGTCTAATCTAAGAACCAACCAAGTGTTGGGAAGACAGCTATCAGACATTTCGAAACCTTTCACATATTCAAACTTGGACTTTGCCATTACTTTCTAGACACGTGGGCGGAAAAATTAATTAACTAGTTATTGGAATGGGCGTGGTCAATACAAACTATTGATGGGCGTGGTTTTGCATGTTATTGCATTGAAACATGGCGAGCAAGATGCTTAGTCCACAAATCTCTCCTTCCGACTTTGAAGATGAAGAAGAACTCCACTCTGTACCTGAAGACATTAGGAACCAGACCCAAGTGATGTTCTACGAGTACGTGGACAGTAGGTGTAGCCACGACAGAGACTTATCCAAGGAACAGGCTTCCCTCCTTCACGAGTCAGCATCTACTTGTATAAGAAAAACTGACGTGGGTGGACAGGTAAAACAAATAGGGGGAAAGATTATTATTTGTACATGTAATTATTGGCTTAGAATTGGGTATGGCTACTGTATTTGGGGTGGGGCTCCCTCTGGGCCGTTAATTATTGTTTGGACTATTAGTTACACCTTGAGCTAGGGATGATAAATTGTGCTGAGCTAATAAAAATGATACAATTTTTTATAATGTTTGTTGTCCATAGTTTTTTCCAAAAAATGGCTACAACAAATAGTCCCAATTTTAGTACATTATAGAGTAAAAGTATAAAGTTATTGGTAACTAGCCATTGTATTCAACAAGAGCGTCTTTTTCTTCCTCCCAGGGCGAAGCAGCTGAAAGGATTGCTATCCTATTATGTGAATACGGCGACAAGTTCCAAAAGGAATTTGACAATGATCAAAACTTACAGAAACTAATGACAGAAGGTACTAGTGACACTGATACTGGGGAGCCTTCAACATCCAGTGTCCTTGCACACGTTAGGATTGTCGTGGAAAGGATTTTTGGTGTCAACTCTAACGGAGAAAGTAATTACAGTATTAATAATAATTAAATGTCTTTTATCCTCATCTCCCCTTTAATTTTCTCCCTCTCTCTTCCCTCTCCCTCCCTCCCCTCCTCTCTCTCTCTCTCCTCCAATCTTAAAGTAATGGTCCAGAATATCACATTTGGTAGGATTGCATCTTTATTTTATTACATTTATTCACTCTGCAAGAGGTTCTTAAAGAATACATTTGCTAACCACACTCTCATGCAAACAATGTGTGCCCTCGGTGGGTACCTTGTTGTATCCCTGGTTAGAGTAAAGTTCTTCCAGTGGCTGAAAGATCAAGGAGGATGGGTTAGTTACTTTTAATTGGATCTAATAGTTTTAGCATGTTGGCTTAGCAATTTTATGTGTCATTTTAAAAAAGATTCCAGTACGCACAATTATTATGATTTTTTTATTTTTTTATTTTTAGGGCCAGGCTATTGTTAACATTTCTACGAGCATTACGCTACCCACGTGGGGTAATAATGTAATATTGGCAGGTGGGGTCTTTCTTATTGGTCTGTGGGCATACAGGATGTACAAAGGACTCTGAAATCAACCAACATACATGCATGCATTTCATACGTGTACATTTCACTTTGTGATTGTGTAATTCTTTCATCTCTTATGATTAGTTTAAAAGATGTGGAGAGTATAGTAGGCGAGTGGTTTCAATTAGCACCTTGATTAACTCCCACGCTTTTAATAAAAAAGGTGTGGCTCATCATGCTGAGTGAGTGTGCGTCTGTGTTTACTGGAGAGAAGGAAACAGCTGACGCATCTCTTCTCTCTCGCAAACTAAACGAGAAATTCATTCGAACAATAAATTAAAATTCACTGTCTATACCTCTCACTCTCCAGCTACCCCTTCCTTCATAAATGGCCGTGCGTATTGAAATAACAAAAGCTGCTTTCCGCCTGGACATAGAGCTAGGCCAAGAGGACCCGCCAGTGGAGAAAGAGGACATAACAGCAGTTACCAACGGGACACTCTCTTTCATAGAATCTAAAGTATGCACGGATGAAGATCTGCCTGATGGTGTAGAGATAGCAGGTCAGAAAAAACAGTAATAATTATTTATTATATAATTCATTGATCTATGATTAGATCATTTCACAAAAATAATTATTTCATTATTCTTCATTGTCTTATTTAATTAATTTAGGCCAGATACATCCAACTGCTGGAAAGGATGACGTTGGCTGGAAAGTCGGTAAAGATTACGCCAAGTGGGGGGACGAGCTCTTTAAGGACCCTGCAAAAAAGCAAGAGCTCTTACAAATATTGCAGCCTCTGGTGGAAAGGGCTTTCAAAGAAGGCGGTCATCTTCTTAAAAGAGCAATGAAGGCCATACTCTGTGACAGGTTTGGGCTTGGTAAGCTGATACCATTGAGATAAGAGATATCATAATTAAATTCATTAATTACCAGTAATTCTCATTTTCGTATTATTTTGCATGTACATTAACCCATCAACTAAAAACAGAGCCATTATTACATTTAGATATAGAAACAGCATGCAAGCACATTATTATACATACATTTGGTCAGGAGAAAATTCCCCTTGGTTGAGCAACACAGGTACAGGGTGGTGCAACCACAAATAATTCAAAATCATTAAGCCTACACAGCATTACTAATGTACATGTACATTCACATAATAATGATATTACTTATTGTGTATACAGAGCTATAGCACAAGGTAGCATGCAGACTTTAAGGCTAGGCTGCAAAACTCCCACTAAAACATGAGGTCATACTGAAGATTCACTCCATCCTATATTTATTATCTCTTTGTATGTATATACACACTGTATATCAGTGTGTATGGAAGGTTCTTAGTCCAAAAACTAATTGTTTATAAGACTTGTTGTTATATAATCATCCTACCTAGACAATTGGGAGTTCATGAAGCTTATAAATAAATATTGGGACCCAAACGGGCGAGAGGAAACCCTCTAATGAGAATATTTTGCATGTCACGGTCCGTACAAACCTATATGAAGGAGAGGTTGGTGTAAGGTCTCAATCAATGGAGAGGTTATGATAATTAAAGTATACCTTCACCTGGCAATGCCAGAGTAAGTGATTTGACTGAGATGTCACCCCCTTTTGAGTTGGTGTCTTTGCTTGTTTGCTTAAATCATACATGTATCTCGGTATTTCATGTTTATTCTGGGACATCCACCCATACTTTATTAACCCCCAGCCCAAATTGTAACTGAATTCTTAAACATTTAAGAATTTAAATCAGAGTTTTTCTATGTCCATTGTCAACTTTAATTCTTGCTCTTGCTCAGCTAGCATGATCATTGCATTTTATTTCAAATATTAATTATCACAAACTAGAACTAAACCTTGCCGTTCAGACTGGAAATTGGGAGCACTTTCAGTGTTTCTAATTGCGTATTTATCTGGAGACAGTAACAGCTTATTCACAGGGCTATATATAGATATGTAGATATTATGATGACTGAGTATACTAGCATGAGAGACAGGGGGTAACCCACTGGATCAGTCCCTTCTCTTTCATATATACACTAGTTGTTTTCAATTTGTTGAATGTCATTGCCCACTGCTGCATAATTGCCATCACATAGATATCATTGAAATGTGATACTTATAGAAATGGTAGAGTATCATGTTAAACCATATGTATGTGTGTGACCAAGAATGCTTGTACATTCCTTAAATGGCTTTTCACTTAATCACTCTCTCCCTCCCTCTCTCTCTATTAGTAAGTGAAATCAGGATAGAGAGGATTGCCTCTCTCTTCATGCTCTGCTGGAATTTATTCAAGACTGCAGTGATTGCACACTCTGTTGTAAAAGCTTTTGAGGTCCTTGGGAAGATACTCAAGCATGTCATACTCTTCCTACAGGAAACGAGATTCTTTGAAAAACTAAGGGAAATGGGAGGATGGGTAGGACAATCACATATACATTACACCCACAGACATTCTTTCACATGCATGTACACTACAATTATGATAATTAATGTATACATAAACTTTGGTACACCCCAGACCCTGCCTTGGTCATCAGCCACACTCAAGTTACTGTACAACTCTGTGACTATTACCCCCACTATAACTATCAATTTTTCTGAGTACATCTTTTAAACATTACTATAACAAATAGGCTTATTTATCTTGTATCACATTAGCCACAAGATTATTATTACAGTACATAAGGTATGTGTTTTATTTATACAATAGGTTGGTCTCCAGGAATTGGTGAGGTCCTATAGGCCAGCCATTACCATTACTTCAGTCAAGTATCTGACTGTTGCTACCACAGCAGCCATTGCTGGAGGACTGGCTGTATATCTGTACCTCAAGTATAAGGATTGAGGAAGGACGACCAAAGAAAAATTAACGAAGGATAAATAAATTATTGTAAAATATCATCTGTACCTATGATATTCTCACTTAATCATTATTATTATTATTATTTATTAATCAGCTCTTTTGCTACACAAAAATATTTTTCTCTCAAAATATTTAATAATAATAATAATTATTATTATTATCATTTTTGTTCAAGCTATAATATATAAAAAATCTTCAAAAAAGAGAGTAATAATAAAATTATAAAATCTAAACGTTCCAAGGCTTTATAGGAACCCCAGAATAATTTTGAAGCTGGGTCCTACGAATATGTTGAAAAATGCAATAAGGACAAGACGAGGAAAATACATTCGACTGCTTGTAGTATTGCAATAAAAAAGGCGTCGCTTGAAAAAGAGGGTGCGGCAAGTCCTCGAGTCTTTCGCGAAACTCTGAGAGTACCTTCCGCTGAAACTCAACCTCAGAAAAAGAGTGCCCACAAGAGAAAGCAACAATTCCGCGATCGAGAGTAGCCGTACCCCCACCAGTCAGGGCCTGCTGCTGCTGGCCCTCTGGTATTGTAAAGCTATCACGATGAGGTACATCCTTGAAAAGGTTTCTTAAAACTGCATTCCAGAGCCGAGTGTCGTTAAGGCTTGGATTTAAAGGTTTAGTGGCAGAGGCTGAGTTAGGAGGCATGGCAAGGATATCATCAGTGAGAGGAGATCCGTCTGTTGCTATTGCTTTTATCAGCTGCAAGGTGACGTCCAGTGTAAACTTGAATGTAAAGCTTTGTGAGTGTTCATCTCTATAGAGTTTAAAAGAAGGAGGAAGAGAGAGATACAGGAAGAGAGAGAAAACAGAGACATCATTTAATTTAGTACAACTAATAGTATGTAATAGCATTATCCACTCTTGCTATAAGGCACTAATTATGCCAAGAGTATACAGACTAGCACTTGTTAAAATTAAAATAATAAAGATTCATTTAAAAGAAAGGAACAGGAAGGAAGAGAGAGGGAGAGGATGAATCAGGAAGGTGGTACAAGGCATATCATGAATGACATAATAAAACATCAGTACTTTACCCCACTCATCCTGTAAACCACATTAACCATGAACATGTACTCACTATTAGTTACCACATACCAACGATGCCATACAATTACACATGTACATGTAATAACAGACACACACTACTCATCATTACTCATTCTTATCCAGAACATTACTCACAATTGCTCATCATCAGTCATAAAAGTCATCATATGTCAAAGGATGACCATTAAACCACTTAAACACTCTAAGATTAATGGGGAGTGGATACACTTCACCTCATACACTTTATACCATACCAAAGGTAATAGTTCACCACACTTGCATATGTCACAGACTGTAATGTATACACAGTCCAGTAGTGCGAGGTTTATAAGTACTACACATGTGCCTATGTCACACAGTGTAATGTATACACAGTCCATTAATGTGAGGTTATAAGTACTACACATGTGTGCCTATGTCACACAGTGTATGAGGTGTCTATGTCATATGGTGTAATGAGCTTATACTGAGTACACATGATGACAGTACATAGTGTCATTTGGTGTAATGTGAGGTGTAAGGTGTAAGTAAACCTCTTCAAAGCAGAAACTCACCTTAGCACACAAAGGTGAGTTTCTGCTTTGATATGCACCTGTGCCATTGGGTGTGTGTACATATGTGTTAATAATATACACATTACCATATCATTATTAATAAAATGATTACCTTCTAAACAAAAGAGAGAGAGGATAAGCGAGTGACGGTAGATAGTTTCCTAGCAGAGTCTCCAAATGAATAAAATTCAATTTATTTTCTTTCCAATATAATACAACCTACACACACACACACGTCATGTGAATATCATGTGACTTCACGCCCACTCACTTGATGAAGGAGGTCGGAAGTGGTTATCAGGTAATCCCTAGTGTGCAGTATATCTGCTGAGTTAGCAGTTAGGTTATCTAAACAAGACTCAACAGCAGTGAGAGACTTAGTCAATGACACCTCTTCACTGCTTGATAAACTGTGTAACCTCCAATATAAGGACTAGAAATAGAGGGGGAGGGGGAGAGACAGACAGATAGAGAGACAGACAGACAGACAGACAGACAGACAGAGGGGGAGAGACAGAGAAGACAATTAGGAGAAAAAGTGATCAAATTAAACTAATATAAAGTTACAAACTACATGTGTACCGGGTACATGCACATATAAATATAATAATAATCATTACTTGTCTCCATTGCTTTTCTTCATTGTAGAGGTTGACCATTGACTCATGATCCTCATACTGCTTACAGTAATGAATGACCTGACAGGTCCTGTAGTAGCCATGTAAGTAATGAATGGCTGCCGTTAAGGAATCACGCCCATAAGAACCAAGAGAGCCTAAGAGGTACATGTTACATACATGTGCACATGTACATGTACATACATGTACATATAAGTGGATGTACATGTATGTACATCCCCATGTGCACATGTACATGTACATCTACATACATGTACATACAAGTGGATGTACATGTACATGTATGTACATCCCCATGTGCACATGTATGTACATGTACATCTACATCTACATACATGTGCATGTACATGTACATGTACATACATGTACATGTACATACTGGACATGCACATACCGTAATTGGCAAAATCAGGTAAAGCCCATCCAAGATCCAGCTGCAATAACTCATCCTCCTGCTGGCGTTCAGCGTTCTAATCAAAGAGCAGGTGTGATTATAATTATTTTAAAGTTAAAATTCAATTGAGTGTGTAACTTCCAAAAAATAAATAAAAATAAAATATTTACATCCTCAATAAAGCAGATACCTTAGAGTGACTTCTAATTACGGCTCAAAATATTGCAATTTTAACTCTCAGTAGATTTGTGGGTACAAAATAATAATTTTAATCACTGCAATGCAATAACAAAATTAATAATTAATAGTACCCGTAGTTAAAAGTACAACAAAAATAATAAAAGTGAACTTACACTAGCTTTAGTTAAAGAGACAGTGGGTACTTGAGGGTTGGGGTTGGGGGCAAAGATACAAACCTTCTTTCCCTCCCTGACACCACTGACCTCCAGACCCAATTGACCGTGATCGTCCCTACCCCACACCCAGGTTATACCACTGTCGTCAATGCCAATGGAGAACTCATCACCAGCTGATAGCAATAGCAACTTATGAGTCTCTAACTTATTGATCTGCTTGGGGTAAGACTACAGGGGGAGGAGAGAAAGGAGAGAAGGAAAGGGAGAAGTACATGTAAATGCATCAGGGTAAAATATAAAAATGAAGAATTTTCTCCTTTTTAGTCGTGGCGAAATTTAGCCATCAACCCTGTACTGTAAGAAGAATTTTCTCCTTTTTAGTCGTGGCGAAATTTAGCCATCAACCCTGTACTGTAGTACAAGGACTTTGGCCTAATTTTGGAGCATCTTGAAAAATTCGTAAAAAATCCAATCTTGATCAGAATCAGCTCAAACTTTCTACTTAATATAAAAACATGTATATGTATCAGAAAATATTATTAAAATGGAGAATTCTCTCCTAGCCATTTTTGGTGAAATTTGGCCAAAGACGAAGGCATTCAGAGTCAGCTTTAAGTCTACACTGTGTTTCATTTATTGATAGTATCTCACCAGCTCTGGTATGTGAGTGTGTCCAATTTGTCCATGTGCATTGCTGCCCCATGACAATACTGTCCCTGATAATAGCAACAATAGACAGTGACAGTTACCACATTTCACCTAAAAATAAATAAACACAATAATAATAAGTACATGTACAGTGTACAGTACCTCTACGACAGGGTCAGTATTATCGACTAGTTTATCCAGTCCGGGTACAACATTAGGAGAGAGTGCATTAGCAACAGCTGGTGAGGTTGAACCACCTTCTCTTCTAGAGCGAGTGTATTGCTTGAAACTTTGAGGACTCTGAGCTGGGTGCTATAAATAAATTAATAAATAAATGAATTAAAAAATAATAATAATAATATACTGGTTTGTGAAGGTTCTTTCCCCACTGATATACAGTTTGATCAGTGCAAACAGCAACCTACAAATGACAATAAATAAATAAATAAATAAATAAATAAATAAATAAATATACACAATGTAAATAGATTAAAGATGTGGGCATGTACTTACAGTGTGTGCTGTACCACAGCCAACTAGATACACTAGTTTATCATTGAGTGCGTATACTAATGTGGGAGTGGTCTGTTTCTCTTGGTTACCATGACCCAGCTGCCCGTACATACCTATCAGATAATAATAAAATACCTCCGTCTCTCTCTCTGTCTCCCTCTCTTACCATTTCCAAAAGTATACAGTTTGCCCTAATTAAAAGGATTATAATATTACCGGCAGACACTAATGGATGCTCTTACATTTTGACTGATGAGTGCCGTGTGGTTAAAGCCAGCTGATATAAAAGAGACCATCAGTTCATCCATAGAGCTGGCATGAGTCGGGAGGAGGACATCATCACAAGTACCGAGTCCTAGCTGTCCATGCACACCCCAGCCCCATACCCATACCCTAGTATAGGAATGGAATAATGTAATGCTAGTATAGGAATGGAATAATGTAATGCTAGTATAGGAATGGAATAATGTAATATCAATTTAGTAGTAGTACAAATAGCACAAACTTATAAACTTTAAAGACATTATATGTATTCATTGAAGTGTTGTTATTATTATTATTATTATTGTTGTTGTTGTTGTTGTTGTTGTTGTTGCTACCTGTGGTTATCGTCCAATGCAATGCAGTGATAGTGTCCACATTCGATATTTAATAATGAAATATTTGATAAAGCAGCAATTTGGACCGGCCTAGATCTTCTCAGTGTATCACCGTGACCCAACTGTAGGAGAGAAAGAAAGCATTATTCTAAATAATACTTAAAATAATGATAAAGTATTATTATTCTTAAGTACCTGCCCATGCGTTGAAGCACCCCAAGAATAAACCTAATAATAATTAATAATAATTAATCAATAACTAATTAAAGGGACATACCCCTTCCTGACAGAGAGCTACAGTATGATCAGCCCCACATGATACTGACAACACATGAGCACTAGGTGGGCGGGGCATCAATAGATCATATGACAGTCACATCACTTACCTCAGCATTGAGAACGTTTCCACTCTTAGCGGAGCTGCTATCTGATTCTGCTCAATGTCACCATGACCCAATCTAAATTAATTATAATTAATTAACAAAAATAGTTAATTAATTATAATTAATTAACAACAATAGTTAATTAATTAATATTATAGTTAATAAAATTATTACAGTACTACTTACTTTCCTTGCTTGGTATTTCCCCAAGTGTACAGCTGTGCATTAATAATTAGTGCTGCATGAGTCACACCACAGCTCAAGACATTAGCACGTATCAACTGGGTACCATCTATGAATGACACCAATGGCTGAAAGGAGAGTTTTGGAGAAAAATAGAGATTATTAATGTTAAATAAAATGACACTATATACTTGCACTCACTCTTAACAGTTGCTCAATCTGAGTGTGCCCGATTCTATCAAACAAAGGAGACAGGAACAATAGTCCTGAATTAGCCGGAGGCTTTCGCTCTCTTTTGTATTGCAAGACTATCAATATGTAGAGGAAAGCTTCAATATAACATGAGAGACTCGGGCTAGTGCTTGGAGAGGAACCACTACTTTCTGTACTGAATAACGACGTGATACTCCCCGTTGAGCTGCTCCTGAGAGGATAAGAGAGAGGCAGAGGTAGAATGGAGAAAGGTCTTTCTGTACCTCTTTAAATTAGAGTGAGCGTATTGTAGCAATGGCTGTACGGTTGAATGTGACGGATCCAATACGCCAGCTAACTGTATCAACATGCTGATATTTAATTCACCAATAACCGCTAATAAATGTAGCAGACATGACTCTAAAATAGACGGCTGGGGGAGAGGAACATAATATATAAGGCATGGCTTGTTACTATGCTTACCTGAGCTATAACGCACTTGGCGACGTTAAAAGGTGTTAATTGGTGAAAGATCATGCCTAAACAGGAAGTGATGTCATAGTGAGGATCATGTGATTTTACCGTTTCCAACAGTAACGAGATGTTCTGCAAATTGTTTATTAGCAACAAGGCTCTCAATGGAAGGAGTGAATGAGCTTTGACCGTTTGACAGTAAGAGGTTTAGTGTCTCGGGAACTTTATGATGCGTCTAATATAATAATAATAATAATAATAATAATAATAATAATAATAATACAGGGCCCTCCCTTTTTGTCCCCCCTTTTGTCTGTTTTGTGTCTTTCTTATAATAATAATAATAATAATGATGATGATGATGATAATGATAATGATAATGATGATGATGATGATGATGATGATAATGTATGGAAAAAGCATGGCGGATTTCCCATTTGATTATGGTCTAGTGCTAAAAGACTCTGTACTACTATAGTACATGTCATTGCCAAATTTCATCAAAAATGGTTAGGAGAGATTTCTCAATTTTTATAAGTTTTTCTGATACACATACATGTTCTTATGTTGCGTAGAAAGTTTGAGCTGATTCTGATCAAAATTGGATTTTTTATGAATTTTTAAAATTGCTCCAAAAACTGGCCAAAGTCCCTGTACTATAGTACAGGGTCAATGGCCAAATTTCACTAAAAATGGTCAGGAGAAAATTCTTCGTTTTTATAACTTTTTCTGACCAATATACATGTTCTTATGTTGTGTAGAAAGTTTGAGCTGATTCCGATCAAAATTGGATTTTTTTATGAATTTTTAAAATTGCTCCAAAAACTGGCCAAAGTCCCTGTACTATAGTACAGGGTCAATGGCCAAATTTCACTAAAAATGGTCAGGAGAAAATTCTTCATTTTAATAACTTTTTCCGATACATATACATGTTCTTATATTGTGTAGAAAGTTTGAGCTGATTCCAATCAAGATTGGATTTTTTATGAATTTTTAAAGTTGCACAAAAACCATGAAATACTAGAAATACATATTGTAGTGTTTTTTTCAGTTTATGAAGCATGCTGTTTAGCATGTTTAGCATGCTTAGCATGCTTTGTGAGAAATCCTGGCTAAAGACCCATGACACTTTTGAGAAAATCATGTACATAAAGTTACATGTACTTCTTAAGTTAAAAATACATATATTTTTTTCTAATCCTCTTATGCTATAGCTTGCATTTAATATTATTGAGTTATGAATGTCAATATGCTGTATAAGTTCAAATTTTTGAGTGTATAAAATTTCGTCTTTTAAATGAAATGTGCTCAAAAGTTAATATTCGTGTGAGCTAATTTTCATGTTCTGGCCATAGTCTACATACAATAGAATGACATTAGAGGTGGGTTAAATTTCGTGGGTTTTAAGGTGAGCATTAAAATAACAAAAATTAACACACCACGAAAATTACCGCGTATACGGTAAACATGTGATTATCACGTGATCAATTACATACTTTAGCCAGCTCCAGCAAAGGCTCCAGGAGTCCTCCTTGTATCAGTAGCTCCATTGCTGTCTTGTGCTCGTAAAGGAACTTGTCGTGTATAAACTGAGTCAAGTTATTCTTACTAGACACAGCACCTTCTAAAGACTAAGAGAGAAACAACAAAAGCATAAATAAAAAAATAATTAAGTAAATAAAAAATAAATAAACAAACAAATTAATGAATGAATAAATAAATAAATAGATAATAAGGCTACCTGTAAAAGGACCTGGTGTATGTAACACTGTAGCAATATGTTTTGGAGTTGATTTGGTTTAGTTGATGCCATCACATTAGTATCGGAGGATTCGTTATAGATTATGTTTTCTATATATTCCAATAGCTCTGATATCCTTTCTCTTTCAATAAAGCACTGTATCACGGTTGAAGCTGGCGTCTAAATAAAATAAATAAAATAATGAAATAATATTGTGTTGCGTAGCAGCAACAGCAGGTAATTTTGAAGCAATAAAATTTGACAATTTGTCATCAGTTAATTTGGCAAATTAGTAACAAAATAACACTAGTACAAAATGATACTTTATGATAGCTTCAATTTTGGCAATTAGTAATTAAAATGTTTAATATTATGTGTCGATCCCTTTGATTTATATATACATGTACATGTACATGTACGGTGTAGCATTTCAAAAAGTAGTAAGTATATAAAATAGGACTCACTTTAGCCTGCTGGTACAGCTTAAGAGCTGATTGATATTCTCCCTTTGACAACTTGAAATCGGCAGCAGCCTAGTGGGAGGGGTCACTGCTGCCTAGCAACCACAAGTACACGCCCCCTTACCTTATATAGTCCACATATATCCAATCTATAAGTGATTGCCAGTTCATCCGTTAGATGATGAGCGTCGCTCGAGAGGGCGTGGTCAAGGAACACAGATTCCGGAGAACAACTATAACAAAAATTAATAATTAAAAGTTAAGAGGTGCAACTTACAGTTGACGACATTGATACACAGCAGTCGCTGTGACGATAATGCATCCGCCTAAATTTGTGGGTGTGGTTAGTTCTCGAGACTCGGCCGCGAGGGACGAAGACTCGAGCCGAGTTGTGAAAAACCCCATGATGGCGTAATGAGAAGGTAAGAGGAACTGCTGTAGAACTGCTCCTGAAGGCTTAAGGGGAGGAGAGTTTATTAATAATAACAATATTTCTCTTACTGATGAAGTCTCCAATACTCCTCTTTGTGCCAGCTCTCTTGATAAAACTGACAAAGTCAACTAGAGAGGAAGAAATAAAAGTGTATAAATTTCAACTACCGTATGGCTCCAAATTTTCGTCAGTCAAAAATTTCGTCAAAATCTTAATTTCTTGTTAAAATTAATTTTCGTCAATAAAATTTTCGTAATTTTTGTTATTAATCCACATACTATCCACGTGGAACAAAAATTTTGTCAGTTAAAAATTTTGTCAAGCAAAAATACCTGACGAATTTGACGGAAAATTTTGACCGACAAAAATTTGGAGCTATACGGTAGTACATGTAGTCAGTTTTGTCTTTTTTTAATGGTCTCTTCATGGTAGAGAAGTTTACCGGTATAACAGTTATTGGTCAAAATTTAATCCAGTCAAAAATTAAATTTTTTGGAGATGTACATGTATGGTCAAAATTACAGTTCATTGAAAATTTCTACGTTTACAATAATTATAGTTGATTGGTCCTGATCCTTACCATGTGGTCGTCAGTGGAGTCATTGTGACTGATGGTGAACAGGATCCTCTCAGTTGAAAGGACTTGAGTGACACCTTCGAATAGCTTGATGGAGCGAATAGGTCTAGTGTTGCAATCAAAACTATAAGAATAGAGCTAAGAGAAAGGAGTAAATTTAGGGGAAAAATAATTATATTATAATCGAACCTCAAATCTAGAGTCACTGAGATTAACGGAGCCTAACATACGAACACTGTTCCACTCTTGGAGTGCTATCTTGTTAAACTCTGAAAATTCCTTTAAAACCACACCCATCAATTAATACATTATAAACCACACCCACTAATTAAGACTCACGTGAAATAGTTTTGGTTCAAATCCTGTTGTATCTGGTCTGAGTAGAATACTCCGCAGTACAGCATCATCATACACCACCTCAAAACCACTTGCCTATAAGGAAAGATATACACTGTACTGTACATGTATTCTGAAAATCCTGCTAATATCATGACATACAATACATGGAACTACATGTACATAAACAAACAAACAAACAAACAAACAAACAAACAAACAAGCAATTTGTGTACTTGCACGTCAGAATAAGAAGCACCAACAGCCTCGTGATACCTTTCCTCCAGCAGTAGCCACCACCACTCACCTCCTCTTAAGTTTATCTGCCAAAAAATATCAATAAATCTACACTACTCATTCTCCTTGTACTACTAACCAAAAGGTTTGTCATGTTGTCTGTTTGTTGTGCTATCAGTAGCTGATCAATACAGCCCCTTAGTCCAATAGAGAATACCTGCTTTAAATCATGTAGATTAAAGAATGTAATCTCACCAAGCTAAAAAGAGAGAAAAATAATAACATTAATGATTATTAATTGCTATATTTCTGTTCTCGTATTTCCGTTCCCATACCTCAGATCCAGTGATGCAGACTTGAGATCCGTCCATGCTATCCCACCATACTATGGCGGTGGGCGGGGCTACTTTATTTATTGGATGAGCAACAGTTAAATCATCCAGTGGACCAAACTTATGACTTGGAGAACAATTCTATAATAATAAAGAAAATTATAAAATGCTGGCTGCTCAAATGAAAAAATTTTCTTAAAGTAGAATTTTTAAATGATGCTCTTTAATTAGAATAAAGTAATTTCAAAATGTTACGCTTAATTAGAAAGCGTTACTTACAGGCATCAGCAAAGTGAGGGCCGGAATTAGATAAACACGTCCATCAAGACAAGCACAAGCAAGCCACTCCCCCAATGGATCAAGCGTAATGCCTAAAATATGTTGACTACGATCCTAAAATATAATGAAAGGAGAGAGACAGAGGTGGGGTGGGGGGGGCATGATAAAAACAAGAAATAGTCCTATACACACGTGTGTACCTCAAACCATTTTAATTGCTTGACTATTGGTTGGCATAGGAAGGGCTGAAGACGAATGACAATGTAACCTGCAAATAAAATAAATATGTATTTACATGTACATGTATCCAGCTCCCTCCCTGTATCTGCATTTACACAAAGCACCCTATCTTACCATTATTGCAGACCAGCACTAATATGCTATAATTCTGAGTCTCTTGATAGCAACAGTGTTCAATGGCTACTGATGTTGTACTTCCAGAGTCTGCATCTACAAATATAAAATAATTTAAAATTATATCTTTAAAATGCAATTAATTCACAATATACCAAAACTACGTAGAGCTGTTTCTCCCCCGGCGGCTGATGAGCTCTCTTCAACTTTAAAAAGGCGATAAACTTCATAGAGAGGTTTGTTTCTTTCCATAGGCTGGGCCGCCATTTTGTGCTTAAGAGGGTTAATAACTCACGTGCTAATCACGTGACTGGCAGCATGTAAGCATGTGTTTAAAGTATACGGAATGCAGTAAATCACCGTTGAAATTGTTAATTAACTAGTTAATAATTGTCTCCGCCTTTTAGGAGGAGCTACAAAATGGTCGTCAATATGTAACTTTTGCTGGAACTTTTGTGAGCAATATCTCTTTTAGAAGGTAAACTAGCGAGTGGCAACCATTTTATTATATTCATAAATCATAATAGACAATGGACTATTTATTGAAAAGAAACATCAGCTGTACTCGAAGTACAAAATTAATTATTATTTTTTTATCGTCATTTTTATTTCTAATCTTTATCTGGCATTGGATGGGAAGTGGTTTCATCAGTAGACCTGACAATGATGATCTACCGATTTCCAGATCAGACTCGATTTATGAACTAGATTCCATCAAAGACTTGTCGTTTTTAAAATGGAAAAGCGAATGTCTTTTCTTCACTTGTTTTGAGATAAATTCCTGTCGTTACGGGAAAGAAAATGAAGAGATGATTAGAGTATACGTCTATCCTTTTTCCGAGACTCTTGCTAGCATGCCACACCTCCAGACATACCCTTCTTTATTGGATCACAGCGATGAGTACATTCAGATTTTGGAGACAATAAGAAGCAGTCGCTATTACGAGCCACTCCCAGAAGAGGCGTGTGTGTTTGTTCCACCTTTTGATACTCTTAATGGACGTCTAATTAATAACAGACTCACTTCATATCTATTGAATAATTTAAAGCTGTAAGTAGCACATTACTTCATTAGGTATCAAAGAAAAAACAGACTGTACATAGCATAGCAATAATACAATACTACTTATTGTCTCTCTCTCTACCTGTTCTTGTCCACGATATCTTTATTAAGACTGAATATCACTGTAAAATGACTCTCGGAACATACAACCCATATTGGGATAAAAGGGATTCTTGTAAAATTTGCCAACGTGTACATGTAATTAGATATACAAATAAATTTTGAAAGATCACTCTACCTCAGACCAAGCAGACCAAATCTTAAATTCCCCATCAGTGATTATTATTATTATATCTTCTTTCTCTCTCTCTCCCTCCCTCCCTCTCTCTCTCTCTCTCTCTCTCTCTTTCTCTCTCCCTCTCTCTCTCTCTCTTTCATAGTTGGAATAATGGTTCAAATCACCTCATATTCTCAATGTTGCCATGGCAGAAGTCTCACCCAAACACTACTGTCCCTGTCTATAACTATGGCAAGGTGTTACTGATGGGTGGAGCTTTTACTGTCTCTAATTACAGGCCTGGCTATGATATATCTATTCCTGTTTTTAATCCTCTCACCATTAAATACGATTATCATCAGTATCACAATATCAAGTGAGTCCAACTATAATTACAATGTGTAGTGTACCGTGTAGCTAGAAATTTTTGTAGCCCAACATTTTCACTAATTTTGCAAATTTTGATAAAAGGACAAAGTTTAATTCTTAAAAACTTAAGCCATGGTAGGCAGAAGTGGATTTGAATTTCTAAATCTACAAAAAAGAATTTTACTGGTTATTTGTAAGAGTTATTGGTTGTAGAAATTTCCAGCCCTTTTCTGTATCAGAATAGACATTTTATCAGAATTCATTTAAATTTTCTACGAGTCACAAATTTTTTATTTATTATACAGATCCCGTCAGTTGTTGTTAGTTATTTTGGTACAGTCCGGGGCCGACCCTCACACTGTTAACCATATAAGGATATCATTGCACCAGGAGCTAATTAAAGGAGGCGTGGTCATGCTCGGATCATGTGATCTCTGTTCACACTGCATCAATGAAAGATGTGACTTTCATGCTAACAAGAAATTACCCTATCCCGATATTTTACAGGTACATGTACATGTACATGTACCTGTACATACATGTACATTTGTACATGTACATAACTTATTACTACATGTGTCATGTGACTCTCATGTGATTATATATACATGTAGGATTCTAAATATTGCATGATTGTTAGTGATGGCACTGGACGTGGTACTCCTGACCTGATGGATGTACTAATGATGGTAAGAGCTAATGAGTGAATAAGTTTATTTTATTTGTTGTGTATTTATTTTATTCTGAGTAAAGACAACTTGCAATGATTTGTGTGAGTATGAGAGAGAATTCAATCAGTACAAGCATTATTATTCTTTTAAAAGGCCAAATTTTGGAGTGATTTTAAAAATTCATAAAAAATCCAATTTTGATCGGAATCAGCTCAAACTTGCTACACAACATAAGAACATGTATATGTATCAGAGAAGATTATTAAAATGGAGAATTCTCTCCTAGTCATTTTTGGCAAAATTTGGCTATTGACCCTGTACTGTAGTACAGGGACTTTGGTCCAATTTTGGAGCAAATTTGAAAATTCATAAAAAATTCAATTTTGATCGGAATCAGCTCAAACTTGCTACGCAACATAAGAACATGTATATGTATCAGGAAAAATTATTAAAATGGAGAATTCTCTCCTAGTCATTTTTGGCAAAATTTGGCTATTGACCCTGTACTGTAGTACAGGGACTTTGGCCCAATTTTGGAGCAACTTTAAAAATTCATAAAAAATCCAATTTTGATTAGAATCAGCTCAAACTTGCTACACAACATAAGAACATGTATATGTATCAGGAAAAATTATAAAATCAGAGAATTCTCTCCTAGTCATTTTTGAAGAAATACCAGGTTTATTTGACTAGTGTTACACAAATTAATGTAGCTACTTGTCTCGTTGAACAAAGAGATAAGGATGGGGTTGGAGATTAAGTGTGACAGATGTAGTTGATGTGAAATATCAAATTCACAAACATGACTAGCCGACTACTAATTTCATAGTGTCATAAGAACATAGTCTCCATCTTACTCACAGCACCAGTCATAATTATTTACAATGCACTTACATGCTTAAATGATAATTATAATTTTTATTTTCATTTTTATTTCTCCATTAGGGGTGTGTCCCTGTTATTATTCGTAATTACGAGCTCGTCCTCCCGTTTTCCGAAGTCATCGACTGGCAGAGATTTGCTGTATTTGTGTGGCTCGAACAGCTGTTCCAATTAATGCCCATCCTTGGTTCGTCTCGTAATGGACTAATTTTAAAACAAAAACAAGTTTGTTTACGCGTGTTTACATGCTGTTTACATGTATTTGCAGGTGTTACATGTATACTCTCGTTATTTTCGCTCGATCCCCGCCATCACCATGACGACACTTGACATACTTAACGATCGTGTGTTTCCAATTAATGCCCAATCATATGAGGTTAATTGGTTTTAATTTATTATTATTATTATTCTTTGATTGCTGGACATTAATTAGGATTGGAATGGACATGACGACAATCAAATTTGGAATGTAAAGGTAATCAACTTAATATTATTCACGACATGTCTCCCATAGCAACTATTAATTAAGATAGAAAAATAAATATTTGAATATATTTAATGAGAAACTAAGTGAGAGGGAGAGGAGCTAAAACTGCATGATTGTGCATGTAGATGATCTCATGAATTGTGTTAAAGAGAAAGTGACAAACATGATTATTGTTATTATTGCATTCTCTCTCTGTGTACGTGTTATAATTATCATTCTGTCTCATACTGCCATGTCAGCATCAGTGATGTTAGATTGCATCATTGCTGATCATGTCATAAATGTAATTATATGTACATGTGTATATACACTCTGTAGTCCATAGCATTCGTTATTCAGCATATACTAACTCCACTATTATTATTATTATTTATATTTTAAAATAAATATTGCGCAACACTTCAAAGGAGTCAGTTCATGTTTTTATATTATTGTTCTGGTACATATTTCTGTGTATTATTATTGATATTGTATGTACATGTAGCATTCTCATATCAAGCTACCCTCCACTAAAAAAGAGGAAGGATTTACAGCAGTCATACTGGCCTATGATAGGTAAATACATGAAATGTGCATGTACATGTACATGTACATGTACATGTACATTTATGTATACTGTATTCCTATTATATAATTATTTTATTTTTTTAGGATTGATAAACTGTTTCAAACAGTTCAAAGTGTTGCACAAGCACCTAGCCTAGCAAAGGTTGGATATGCATGTAATACACGTGACGTGTACATGTAATACATGTGACATGTACATGCAATACATGTGATAGATTTTAACACATTGATAATGTACATGTACATGTACATGTATTGTACATGTGACGTGTACATGCAATACATGTGATAGATTTTAATGCATTGATAATAATGTAATGTATTGTGCATGTGTTGGTCATGCAGTAATGATGTATTTTCTCGTTTTTAGTTCGTTATCGTTTGGAACCATGCTTATAAATCGCCCCCGCCATGTGAGCTAATCAATCAATTAATGAATTGATTAATATGATATATTTTTGTTAGTATCTGACTGGCCGTTTGTTAATAAACCAATCAAAATAATAAGAACAAAGAATAATAAACTAAGTAACAGGTAAAGTATGATAAGTAGTGATGATATATAATACCTAATAATAATATCCAGTATCTAATAATAATATCTCTTTCTCCCATAGATTCTATCCATATTCTGATATTACTACTGCTGGCATTCTCTCACTGGATGATGATATTAACATGATGTCTTCGGATGAAATAGAGTTTGGTTTTCAAGTGGGATAATTATAATAATATAATAATGCTAATAACATTTAATTAGATGTTGTATCGTATTGTAATGCCTGCATGTATTGTGTATACGCTCGTATTTTGCTATGTAAGCAGTTAATTGTAATTACTAGAGTAGCTGATGTATCATGCACAATAGTCAGGCCATTTCTCACACACACCATCACACCTGTCATTGACTCACACACACATTGTACATGTACATGCACATACATATACTTAGGTACACAGCAGCAGCAGCAGCACAGCTATTCAATTAATAATGTATTCTCACACTGATAGCTAGAGTCATGCTGGTATCACAACTTTCTCTCCCCCCCCCCCTTTCTCTTTCTCTCTTCCTCCCTTCTCTCTCTCTCATTCATGTCCACCTGTTAACATTATGTCTTGTAAATATTCTAGATATGTTACTGATACTTTAAATAACAGGTGTTGTATTTTAAATATTTTTTATTTTGTCTTGATCCTTTAACACATCCACTACATCAATCCACATCTTATTAATGTGAACAATGTACATGCACATCCTCTCCTCTATGTATCTCTCTCTTCTTTCCTCTCCCCCCTACCTCTCTCTATCTATTGCACAATACCTGATATACTGTATTGCACAATCATTATCAATAAGATATTGATTTTTACTAAATATGGTCATGATTCTAATGTTAGTATGTACAGTACATATGTATATCATATGCACTTTCTCTCTCTCTCTCTTCATCTCTCTCTCTCTCTCTTTGTTTGTTATGTCACTAATCCCAAATATGTCCTGTACTTTTCTTGTCAGAATTGTGTCCCAAACATCATTACAGATGATTAACATAGTGTCACTAGCATTAAATTTATTTCAGTTTGGGAATTTATTCCTTTCAAGGAGTGTGTGTGTGTGTGTGTCTGTGCGTGTGAAAAAGTTTATTTTTGTTATTATTTTATTTTGAACTCTCTTAGTGTATGCGTGTGTGTTTGTGTGTTCGTGTTGTATGTGTGTATCTTTCCGTGTGAACTACAGTCTCTGTCTCTCTCTTGCACTTGCTGACTCTGTACATGTTTACATGTTTTGTGTGGCCGTTCCTGACAGTGTACATGTACATCTTTATTTACATGTACAGTACATGTAGCTCCCCTTTGATAATCTAATTATGTGATTATTATATACTAGTAAACAACAAGTTACTTCCGTTTCATTTGCAGTATAGCCTCTTTAATTGTCACTCTCTATAGCAGATCATTTAACGGACAGCACCTAGTGTACCAATTACATTCCTTACTGTATAAAATAACCTCCACATAAAGGACACCTCTTTATAACAGGCAAACTAAAGTGTCCATTATATAGAGGCTATACTGTACTACAAATGTATGATTATTGTATCTGTATCATTGTTGTGTTATATTTATAGACGTGGCTAGAGTATCCTGATAGACTTGTTGGCTATCCTGGTCGAGTCCACAGATATAACCATAAATCTGCTAATTGGGTCTATGACAGCGAATGGACTAATAATGTGTCTATAGTATTGACTGGAGCTGCTTTCTATCATAAAGTAATAATCTCTGTGCACTTTTGTGGCTTCATGTACATGTACATGTACACAGTTAATCATTTTCTCTCAATATTAATTGTATCATCTGTATGTGTCCCTCACCTCCTCTCTTTCTCTTTCTCTCTCTCTCCCTCTTTCTCTCTCTCTCTTTCTCTCTCTCTCTCTCTCTCTCTCTCTCTCTCTCTCTGTAGTATTACCATTACCATTATACCTACCTGATGCCCAAGGCAATAAGAACTTGGGTCGACGTTCATTTTAACTGTGAAGATATCATGTTTAATTTCATGATATCTAATATCACTGGACTACCACCTCTTAAGGTAACAAATGTACATGTGCATGTACATGTATATGCCATAGCTTATAGCAGTGTATAGAGAGAAGGAGGGAAAGGGGAGAGAGAGAAAGGAGAGGGAGGGAGAGAGAGTATAGCTACAGGGGCATAATGAATTCAATTTGAATTTCTGATTGTTTACTGCTTTGTTATACACGGTCAGTACGTGTATTTTTAAACATGCTTGCTAATGCGTAGTCAGTACACAGTAGTGCTTTTACAGGACCGATGGGCTTGTGGTGAAGAGGGTGGGAAGCAAGGCTGTCCACATAGACTGTGTAAACAAGACTGTCTCCAGATAGGACTATAATTGTATTCATCTGGTTGGGATACCCTTATTAAAATGACCACAGGATACTTGTTTTGAATGCTGTTATCATTATCCACTCATTTCACTATGGAGGGGATTCTGAGCCATGCTTTAAAGATTAAGATCTGATTCTGATATTATAGGATACATTTATGAGCCTTTAAAATTTACTCCTATCTCTTAATTGCCTTCTCTCCCTCTCTCTTCCTCCCTCCCTCCTATGTAGTCTGTCCCTTCCTTTCTCTCTCTCTTTCTTTGTTATGTACATGTACATGTACATATATTCCTCTCTACTTCCTTTTTGTTTTATTATTCCTGTCTAGCTGTACATGTAGATGTGAGTGTATCTGTACACGTATGCAAGTTGTGTGTGTGTATGGTTTGCATAGGAATGTGCATTGCTGGCCTGTCTCCTAATGGCCTGCACCTGTTTCCCATTCAGCGGAGATTATATTACTCACATGACATATAGCATAATATAATATACATGTGCATGTACATGTACATTAAAGTTTTATCTCTTCTCTCCTCTCCCTTTCTCTCTCCCTCTCTCCCCCCCTCTCTCTCTCCGTCTCTCTCTCTCTCCCCCCTCTCTCTCCCTCTCCCCCTCTCTCTCTCTGTCTTTCTCTCTTTGATATTGATATCTCAGTAACATGTACTTGTATCTTTGCCCTTTGCACTTTATGGTTACATAAAAGTAAAGTTTCGGCTGGTCTGAACACAATAACATATTTATTGTATTATAGCATGTGCATTATGTACATGTAGATAAATATTATTAATCTATGTACAGTGTATGTACATGTATACATGTACATGTATATGTGTGTGTATGTGTCTTTCTGTGTGCATGTGAGAATGCGTGTGAATGTTTACTACTGACAGGAAATGTTAACAAATTTTAGAAAGCAAAGAATAATTACATTATACACTAATTATGAGAGACAGACAGACAGAGAGAGAGAGAGACAGGGACAAAGAGACATAGAGAGAGACACAGAGAGAAATGAGCGGTTGCAATTTAGGATGGATATTCTAGTTATGCTTGCTTAAGATTCCTGTTACAGGCTTTGCTGTTTTTGTACATTACCACACACACAATGTATTGCACATGCTGTTACTATTTTTAGAGCAGTTTAAATGTTACTATTTTTAAAATAAACTGTAAACAATTTCAGTTTGAAAATGTGACTATAAATATACTTACTATCATTATGAATATTATTACAATGCGTGACTTAATCCTTGTAGCCATTAGCTCCTTCCTTTAAGCTATTGGATATTGTTTATTGTAAAAATTACTCCATCATCATCATTGAGGATTATATACCATAAATCAAGTATTACAGGTAGCTCTAATGACTACTAGGCATTAAATCTGCTTCTGTATTCAACCTCAACTTGTAAACAACACTATAGTATACTGTATACATGTACTGTACACTTGCATGTATTATCATTATTACATTATATTCCATAAATTAAATATTAGCTTATTAAGCACTAACATATTGTATTCAACCACTGCCAGGCTACTACTAGTAAACAGCACTATTAGCATAATCCATGTATTAGTACACGTGTGTCATCATCATTCATCATTATAGACCATAAATCAAGCAGTTTTACTATTACTATAGTCATGCAACAACTAAGATGTGCATGTGGCTAGTAAACAGCACTACATCCAGTATATGTACATAAAGTATTATACTTTAGCTTGCAAGCCACAAGCACTCCACTGCTAAGTGAGCATTGAAGACATAGTGTGCCTCTATAATTCAATGATAGGTCATGCAATGTTCTTATTGCATTATTGTTATTTATTATTATTATTATTAGTTTTTTTAGTTGCAGCTGGTTTATGCACAATACATAATAATGCTTGCCTTTGATGTCTAAGCCTTTGATTCTCTCTCTCTCTCCCTCCCTCTCTCTCTCCCTCTCTCCTCTCCTCTTTTGTTTTCATAAAAACAAAGGAAGTTAATCCGCATACAAAGTCATACCATACAACCTTCATACATGTACATGTGCAATATTGATACATACATGTACGTGTCTATGTAATATGCATATTAATAAAGAGAAAGAGAGATAGAAGAGAGATTAATTATATTTATTATTCCAATAGTAAACAAAATCGAATGTGTGGTTGTGCTATAGTAAACATGAGCTGAATCTAAAAGACACATTTCTCTTTATATGATTATGAATAATGATAACAATGGTCTCTTTCTCTCTCACTCTCTCCTTGTGTGTTTACTAGTGTTCCTAATCTTTTGTTGGCTGGCCAATGTAAACATACACTGGAGGAGAGGAGACAGCGAGAAACTACACAAAGATTATATTGTAAACAGTACAAATTTTATAAATATTAGGAATACATCATGTACACATGTATATTGAGTAAATTGAAGATAGAGAGTAGATAAGGATAGGGGGAGAGAGGTAGAGGTAGACTGTCTTACATAAATCTTGGTTCATGTTTTGGCTCCCTCTCATGTGACAAATGGAAGCATTTGTTTATTATAATTTGATATCAATCGCTTTTAGCATTTCTATTTTGTATTGTCTTTGCTAATAATTGAAAATATTGATTATAGCATGTAACCTCTCTCTCTCTTCTTCTTCTTCTTCTTTCCTTAGGTCACTCCGCGTAAAAGATTTAAATGTAAAAACTGTAATACGGAAGGCCTGGTTGGGGATTCTGCTCACTACATAAAGAGGACAGAGTGCATTAACCTTTTTGCGAAGCAGTTTGGTGACACGTTTCCTCTGAAAAGCATCAAGTATCGTCTTGATCCAGTGCTGTACAAGGTGGAGTCAAAGAGGGAGAAAGCTTTTCCTAAAGTTGGTGAACTTTGACCCTCTTCTTAACTCCCCCTCTCTCTATCTCTCTTTTTCTCTCTCCCTTTCTCTCTTTTTTCATTCATGTATCACCAATCACAATCATTTTATAATGTTTTGCTTTTAATTTATCAAATAAAGGAACAACAGTATAATCATTATCATTGTTATCATTTGTTCCCATTAAATTACATTTTTGGATCATTATTTACATGTATATAGATGCACAGAGATTATTTTAGTATATTAGTTAATGTGTTTGGTAGTTGTAGAAAGACACTTCTCTCTCTCTTTCTTTATTTCTCTTTATCTTCTTCCTTGCCTCTCTCTTAACTCCTGGTGTAATCGTCTGGCCTAAAATGACAAGAGAGGATGTGAGAGCGAGCGTTGATTGTTAGTCTTTATCCTTATCAGTAAAAGACAGACTTAACAATGTCATGATCTCATATCTATTATCTAGTATGTCAATAAACAACATTCATTCATATACCTTATGTACACATTGCATTGCGTGTGTACATGTATGTACATGTACATGTACATGCATACATACACCCCCTTATTGTATTATTACTTATTTATTTATTTATTTTCTACTTACAACAGCGTCATTGTTAATCCTGTCTCTAAAGCATTTCTCCATTAGTCTAGTGAATATTGAATTAAAGTAGCCGTACAATCTCTCCCTTAGCCCAGACACGTCACTCAGCTGCACGTCAAGCACATTTCGGTAGCTACGAAGATGAAGGGTTATGATATCAATTGTTGAGAGTGAGCCTGATTCGACCTCATCTACCGACGAGTTAATATCGTACAACTCCAATAATTTGTCTTGGGTGATGTGTTCTGGGTTATCGCGTAGTTCTTCAGGTAGATATGGTGGTACTGCTACTGTTAGCTGCTCCTGTGGCTGGTGATCCAATAGACCTTGTGCTAGCTCTTGGTGTGCACTAGAAGCAGAGCTCTCTTTGTCGTCTTTAGTCTTCCCTCCTCCTCCTCTTTCTGCTATACAAGTGTCAGAGTCATTCTCAATTTGTGATGCTAGGTTGAAGTAGGCTTGGAATATTTGTGAGCAGAAGTCTTGGAAGTCATCATCTCTTGTATCAGACATAGCCTAGAGAGAGTGCATGCAAGAGAAATAGTATTGTATGCCTCCACATACACACAGTATGAGTGTGCTTATACAACTCACTCTTGGTTGAAGGATTTTGGATGGTTTCCTTTTCTGAATCTGGCTTTTGGCTGTGAAAGTATCTTGACAGTTTCACTTGGCAGTTACACTTCTAACGGGGCAGTGACGGTCTTGTAACGAGATAGTATATAGACTGCTCCCAACAGCCTATGTTTTTGATAATGATACCATTGCTGACTCAGCTTGGCCCTCCCACCAAAGCCCGGGCATGCAACAGCTTGCTAGATCTATAATATAGTTGCACCATCAGCAGTAGTCTATATAAAGGGAGAAATTATCTCATAATCTCTCAGAAAAGCGAGTAATTATAGTAAATGGCGAGTCTCCCTGAAAGCTGGGACGGAACACAGAAAATAGTGACTGTGGAAGTAATGCGATCATTCTATTGTGGGAGCTCTGCAGATCCACGTTTTGAAGCACTCGAGGAAAACGAGCAGTTGTCAGTACCACATTCTAGAAGGCGGCAGATCTCAGAGACTCCTTCTCCTCCACTCTCTCCTGTTCCTCCGGATGATATGGTAAGAGAGGCGCTTTGTTGTTGTTATTGTTTTGTTTACTCACACTTATTAATGTGAAGTGGCTCATGGCCTGTAGTGAAAATATTGTAAACAAACACTTTCTCCCCTCTTAACGCTAAACAAAGATCCCTCTTATGTTCAAGGGCTTGTTGTGTTAGAAGCACTTTAAGTGTTCAATGCTAATTATGCCCCATGTCTCTCTAATAGGTCTTTTGCGATTTTAAAGACCTGATGATAAAAATGCTGAGTACACCAACAGATCAGCTACCACCTGAGGAGCAAGAAAGGGCTAGAATGGTTGGGGATAGACTGAGGAGGCTTGGAGACACTATGGATGATGCTTTGGCAGAAGAACACAGAGATTTACTTAACGGTCTCTTGCATCCCACTAAAGAAATTCAAGAAACAATAAGGGAAAGTTTAAGGAAAATTAAGAAGATAACGGCTATGACTGTTGTAAAGGTCTTCAAACTTGGCCTGCTACTCCTCTCTGCCCCTCCCTCCTCTGAGTATGAATATAGGTTGGAAGAGAGACAACTCATTAAAAATATCTTTGACTCTGTCGTTGAAGAGATAACAACCTGGGTAATGGAGAATGGTGGATGGGTAAGTATAGCACATGCATTATAACGCATACGTGTTGTATTTAATTGTAAGTTACTAAAATAACATAAATAAATGAAAAGTGTATAGTCTGCAACCATACACATGCATGATGATGCAATACTTCTACTGTTTTTGACTCATTATTGCCTTATATAGAATCACCATGCACCATTATACAGCAGTACATGTGTATTTTGGATGGATTGAATGGTTATATTGACACTACTGCTGCATGCATGTTCACTGCAGTGCTAGCCTGGTTATAGTATAGCTGCTAATATTCAATTGTTCTTTTGCATGATAAGCAATTTATCACAATGCAGTAAATGAGGCCTCAGCCAGCAATAGCAACTGGTCTTTGGTTAATTTATACTGCCCTAGCCTTTTCTATCTCTTTCTCACTCGTTAGCATCATTATCCATCATAGCATGTCAGGTATTGCGCAATACAATTATAGTACTTTAATTTATTTTTATCACACCATGCGTGCTTGAATGTTTGTGTGAGTTTGATTGTATTTACGTGTAAATAATTAAGATCAATGGCTCTGACATTAGTATACATTACCATTGATCATGTTACAGTATATACAGTATTCATTATCCCTTTTATCTCCCTCCTTCTCCCTATAGGATCAAGTATTAAATTCAACTGATGAGCCCAGCTCTCCTTTAAGGCCTCATTCTTCCAGCACTCCTACATTGCCTCAAGTGTCACCACCCACTGGGTCCAGTAGTGATTTTGAAAGAAACTGGCGTAGTCACAGTTTCTCTGCCTCCCGCCCAGTCCCCAACAGAACAAGACATCTGAGTGAACCCAACTCTGTGCCTTCTTCCCCAACTACCAGAGGTAGATCAATGAGCAGCAGTTTGATGACTATTGGCGCTGCCGCATTTGGGCTTGCATTGATGCACTACCTTCAATCATAACACTCCTCTTATACTTATCACTTTATATATTGCATGTATAATCATTCTCTCTCTCTCTCTCTTTTGTTTGCTCCATATATCACTAACATTAACTAATCATCCTTCACTCTCCCTCTCTCATATCTCTGACAAGTGATCATTGCATTCTATTTAATCAGGACAAATCAAAACTATACACTCTTTCTTTCCTTCCCCCTCTCCCTCTCTCAGAGATGATTGTATTATACCATCAGTTTCTCAGGTAACGCTTTCGTCCTTCGTCATCGTTCAAGCATACAACTCTCTCTCTTCAAACAAAACTAAACAACAATTGACACATGCATCATATTAAAACTTTGTTGATTGTAATTATTGTTCTTGTTCAAAGTTTACGGTTGGTTTGGATTCGATATATATTTACTGAACAGATCTGGAAATTTAAACTCTCCTTTAGCCTAAGGAAATACATAATAATAATAATAATAATAATAATAATAATAATAATAATAATAATAATAATAATAATAATAATAATAATAATAATAATAATTACTATTATTATTATTTAATAGTAACTCACTAATATTAGATAGGCTACTTTAACATCTGGTGTGCGATATTTTCTCAAAGATATAGGAATAGACTTGCCCACTCGGTTTTTCTCTTTACCTGAAATTTAATAAAATTTAATTATAATGCAGCAATAAATATAATTTAAAAGTAAAACACACCCACAAAAGGGGGAGGGTCTGAGTAGTAGCAGTTAATTTCATTAAAACCGCATGACTTTAAGTAATGTACAATGTAGAAACAAGAAAATGGGCAGTGTAAAAAAATTGACTGAAAAATTCGAACCCCTAGCTGCCCTTATAATTTTGATACATATTGATGTCCTGTGTAGAAAGGTTGAGCCAATTCCAACTTACAATTTTTCGAGTTATGGCCATTTATAAAAATTAGCCAATTTCTGAAAAATACCCTGTACTATAAGCCCAGGGTTTCCCATAGGATTTTGGCATAGTGCTCAGCTGATGCATATACATGTACTTATGCTGATCGGAGCTTCTGAGCAGGCTATGATCAAAATTAGATTCTTAAAAGTTGCTTAACAATCTGGTGGTCAAATTTCACCAAAATTGAAAAGGAAATAAATCTCAAATTTTATACTTTTTGTTATGTAGAAGAATTTTTAAAGTTGCTCAAAATCTGGTCAAAATCCCCTGTACATGGTCTCGGGCCAAATTCTGCCAAAATCAAAAAGGAGAGAATTCTCCATTTTAATATTTTTTCCTGATACATATACAGGTACTTATGTTGCGTAGAAAGTTTGGGCTGATTCTGATCAAAATTGAATTTTTTATGATTTTAAAAAGTTGCTCAAAAATCTGGTCAAAGTCCCTGTACTATAGTACATGGTCTCGGGCCAAAATTCGCCAAAATTGAAAACGAGAAAAATCTCCATTTTTTATATTTTTTCCTGATACATATACAGGTACTTATGTTGCGTAGAACGTTTGGGCTGATTCCAATCAAATTTGAATTTTTTGTGATTTTTAAAAGTTGCTAAAAAATTTGGTTAAAGTCCCTGTACTATAGTACATGGTCTCAGGCCAAAATTTGCCAAAATTAAAAACGATAAAAATCTCAATTTTTATATTTTTTCCTGATACATATACAGGTACTTATGTTACGTAGAAAGTTTGGGCTGATTCTGATCAAAATTGAATTTTTTTATGATTTTAAAAAGTTGCTCAAAAATCTGGTCAAAGTCCCTGTACTATAGTACATGGTCTCGGGCCAAAATTCGCCAAAATTGAAAACGAGAAAAATCTCCATTTTTATATTTTTTCCTGATACATATACAGGTACTTATGTTGCATAGAAAGTTTGGGCTGATTCCAATCAAAATTGAATTTTTTAAAAAATTTTATATTGATGAATGCTGTCTAGCTCACTTAGCATGGTTCATAGGAAACACCCAATCAGTCCATATTTCTCAAAATGGATCTGAAATCACCCAAATTTTACTACATTTTTCAATACGTATTGATGTCCTTAAACTCCTTATGCTATGTAAAAAGTTTGAGCCAATTCTGATTATGTGTATAATTTTTTTAATTTCATTATTTGATTAAGTTAACGTACCTCTTTGAATTCTTGTGTTGACTTTATGAATATCCACACCATAAATACGCTCAAAATAATTTTTAATATCAAATTTGGTCATTCTAAATAAAGAACATTTGTGTATATATATATATATATATATATATAATATTAACAAATCTTATTATTTTACTTCATAGGCACGTGACATTGCACGTGATCCTTTGGTAATTCTCTGCCAGGTTTCACTAGCTTCACAAACCAGTCGCAAAGATATATCTTGGGAGCAGGTTTGTTTTGCCTAAGAACAGCCAGCTTCCTTACCCTTGCTGCGGCACCTGCTGTGGCCATGTTTTCTCACGTGGGAGGATGTCACGCCCCTCCCATACATAATTAATCACTATCATGGTTCCAAGGGATGTGAAAGAATCTTTCAAAACTCATTCGCCTGACGGGAAGAAGACACCAACTCGGGACTGGACCCTTAAATTGTTTGATTTTCACGAGAGGAATAAAGGGCAAGACGATAAGCCCATCACAGGTGAATACATTGATGGTGTACTGCTACCAACCCTGATCAAGCCTGGGGATGTGGTGGCCCTGAGGCAAGAGCTCAAGCTAAGAGAGACTGACGTTTTTGTGGCTACGTTTCCCAAGTGTGGCACAACGTGGACTCAGCAGATAGTGAAACTGATCTGGAGTGGAGGGAGAGAGGATGGAAGGGACGTTGATGAGGCTCTCCCATGGATTGACGTAACAAAACCACACGAACTTGATGTAATAATAATTTGTTTAGCTGTAAATAATCTGATTTGAGCATAAACAGATTAATCAAATTGATATTGCTGTTACATGTACATGTACTATTATTACCTTATTGATATATTGTTGTTAGATACTCTGATTATCATTATTATTATTATTATTGCTATTATTAGGACATGCCTTCACCTAGAGGTTTTAAAACCCACCTACCGTACCACCTCTGTCCAGGTGGAGATCCCAGACAATCTCCCGCCAAATACATATATGTTTATCGTAACCCAAAGGACACCATGGTCTCCAATTACCATTTTTCAGTTAAGTTTTTACCCGAGGACATGCCATGGAGCAATTATTATAAAATGATGCTAAGCGGTGACGTTTACTTTGGTAACATTTTTGATCACATGAGAGGATGGTATATACATAAAGGTAATATTATTGTTTAATTTATTTTATTTATTTATTTGTATCAGATCTGCCTAATGTTTTAATCATAAGTTACGAAATGCTAAAAAAGGACTCATTTAACATGATAAAAAAGATATCAGATTTCCTTGGGTACCAGCTCCAAGATGATGTCATTGCTGATATAACAAAACTAACATCATTTGAAAAAATGAGAGGGAACGAGCTAGCCAATAACAGCTGGATGGATAAATATCGAAGAGAAGGGGCAGGATTTATGCGTAAAGGAGTCATTGGAGATTGGAAGAGTTTGTTCAGCGAAGAGGAATCCATTGAAATTGATGAAATAATAAAAGAAAAGTTGAGCGATATTGGACTAGTTTTTGATTATGATCCATAAATGGTATCACATTTTAATAATTCATACGTTGATGTTTTTTTATTGTAATGATACATGCCTCTGGACTAGTGTTTTTCCGTAAACTTCATATCATTAAATTTTTATTTGTCGATATACTTTACATCTATGTCTTTATTGTTTGTACAATAAAATTTTGTGAAAGTTAAAGTTCTTACACAAAATTAATCATAGCCATGACATAATACTAGTTTTCAAATGTAAAAGTGAATAATTATTATAATACAGAATCTCTTAGCAAATGTGCAAAATTCCACTATCTTTGTAGTCTTTCAGTTTGTCAATTCTTATACCACTACCGTCACAGCTAAAGTAAATGAGATTGTTACATAGTGCAGGATTGACTGGTCGCAAATGTTTTAAATAACTAATACTGACAACCAAGAGTTGCTGGCAATTCTGAAGGACTTCTTCCAGTCCTTGGCTTGCATGACTAGAATTGTGTGGAAAATAAACTTTGAGATAAACAAGAGATTTCAGGTTTGAAACAAATGGAAGCAAATAATGATGGCTCAAATGCACATTTGCAGATGATTCGAAAATAGTACAAAGAGAAAAGTCACAAAACGTTACATCAAGACCTTTGAGTCTGGACATACTCTTAATATAGTTAATCATATTATCCCTTGCAGTTGAATCAATATCAGGGAGGTGTGATACTTGTGACAAGCCTCCTTCTTTCTGCGATGATGATGGTGAGTGAGTGATAGGTGGGATAAGAGAGCAACAGCTGACAGACAAAAACTCTAAATTTTTCATTTTCGATAAAAGATACCAAAAATGCTCCACATTAATTTCAAAGCTGCCTCCTGCAGAATAAAAGCAAGAAGATGCGTTCAACCCCCTAAGTTTCAGACAGTGCTCAGATAATGGAGCCAGGTAGGCATCAAGACAATCTGATAGAGTGCTTCGCCTGAAACTAACCTCTAATAGATTTGGTGCGTCTTTAACAATCAAACGAAAGGACTCGAGTGATAAGGTTACAGACTCAAACCCAAGTACAGCAAGATTAACTCCGTATCGACTTGTATAAACTGGTAAACCAGGAGGAATATCTTCGTTGTTAAAAATGGCATATTGTTGACTAAGACCATCATAATTAGGCTGTGTGGTTGGTGTAACAAAATCTTTCAATGTAATCATTAGCTCACCATTAGCAGTCATAGCAACAGTTTCAGAATTATTGGGACCAAGTTGCAATGAATACAGCGGTATGTCATAAAAATCAAAGTTCAAAGGTCGACGATATCTTTCATAGGCTACAAAATGAGCTGAATGAGTTATAGGACAATGCAGTGGTGTATCTCTATTTCTATTATATTTATTATAACAGCCAACACCAATGAATACAGGTGGTATGCACTTATTTTCCAACCACTTGTTAAAGAGAAGTTCTCCAGAAATATTTTGAACAATGACAACGAGCTTTTTCAAATGTGAAAGACATGAAAATTTTGCCCCTAATACTTCAACGTATTTTCTTTCATTAAAAGTGAGTGTTAAGCACTGCAAGTGAGGTAAATATGAAGGTGAAGAAATCTTCTCTAATGCATGGGTATTTATTTTAAACTCGTAAAGATTCAACGTATGAACATTCTTACAATTGAGTATTTTTGATATTATTTTTGGCTGATACTGATGGCGACTGAATGGTAGCTGTCCCTTTAAACTGAGTGACTGTACATGTGGTTGACATGTTTTTAAAACTGATTTAATGAATGGAGCATTTGCTTTATGGTACGCATCATCAATGAAAACGTTTGTCCACAAATAAGGATCGGAACATATCGTGTAAAGTTGTCTATTGACTAATCTTAGGGACATCTTATCTCTGAGTGACAGCAACATACATATCTCTTGTATGATCTCCTTTGGTAGGGAATCAAGTGATGAATATTCTTTGTCCTCCTTTACAGGATCATCCAATGGAAAGAGCTGATGTACCTGGACGAGCTGATTGCGCTCTTGTTCTTTACAATCATCCTCTGATTCTTCAGAATCAAGTTTAGGTCGCTTAGACAGAGACGCCATAATTTTTTATTCAAGTTATCGCATAATTTTAATTTTAAATTAATTATACATGCAAAGCTAAAGATTCACTGCCTCTGTATTCTTGAATTTTGTCAACTATTGGACCGTCATTACAGTAAAAGTAAAGAAGATTACTATACAATGCAGGGTTGGCTTGTAGGCCTATTGCATTATGAATAATGAGAACTGAGAGTTGCTGGCAATTTTGAAGGACTTCCTGAAGTCCTTTGCTTCTTTGATCATAAGTGTACAGCAAACTAACATTGAGATAAATGAGGGATCTCAAATTTGAGAGAATCAGAAGCAAATGCAGACTCTCATGTGATTGAACTCCACTGCATAAATGAATTGCACAATCCATTACTTGAAGACCTTTGAGACTGGACATGCTCTTAATATAGCTAATCATATTGCTCTTTGCATGCAGTTGACTCAATATCAGGGAGATGTGATACTTGTGACGAACCTCCTCCTTCCTGTGATGTTGATGGTGAGTGACTGATAGGTGGTAGAAGAGAACAACAGCTGACAGACAAAAACTTTAATTTTTTCATTTTTGATAAACAATGCCAAAAATGTTCCGCATCCACATCAACAGTTTCAGAAGCATATGACACATCTAACTCTCTCAGTTTTAAACAGTGTTCAGATAATGGAACTAGGTAGGCATCCAAATAATCTGATAGAGCACTTCTCCTTAAACTAACTTCTAATACATTTGGTGTGTCTTTAACAATCAAACAAAAGGACTCAAGTGATAAGGTTACTGAAGCAAATCCAAGTATAGTAACATTAACTCCGTATTGACTGGCATAAACTGGTAGACCAGAGGGAATATTTTTGTCTTTAAAAACAGCATATTGTCGACTAAGATCATCATCATTAGGCTGTGTAGTTGGCGTAACAAAATCTTTCAATGTCATCATTAGCTCACCATTAGCAGTCACAGCAACAGTTTCAGAATTGTTGGGACCAAGTTGCAATGAATACATTGGTATGTCATAAAAATCAAAGTTCAAAGGTCGACGATATCTTTGATAGACTGCAAAATGAGCTGAATGAGTTATAGGAGGACAATTTGGCTTTGGAATATTTCTAAAATCAATGAAGCCAATTACAATAAATATATGTGGTGAGCACTTGTTTTCCAACCACTTCTCAAGGAAAGATTCTCTCGAAGCATTCTGAACTATGATGAGCTTTTTTAAATGTGAAAGACATGAAAACTTTGTCCCAAACAGTTTAACAGATGCTCTTTTGTCTAAAGTGAGCGTCAAGTACTGCAAGTGAGGAAAATATGAAAGTGAAGAAATCTTTTCCAACGCACTGAAACTTATCTGAAACTCATACAGATTCAAAGTATGAATATTTTTACAGTTGAGTATTTTCGGTCGATAGTAGCTGAATGGTAGCTGTCCCCTTAAACTCAGTGACTGCACGTGTGGTTGGCATGTTTTTAAAACTGATTTAATGAATGGAGCATTTGTCTTATGGTACGCATCATCAATGAAAACATTTGTCCACAAATAAGGATCGGAACATATCGTGTAAAGCTGTCTATTGACCAGTCTAAGGGACATCTTATCTCTGAGTGACAGCATGATACATATCTCTTGTATGATCTCCTTTGGTAGTGAATCAAGTGATAAATATTCTTTGTCCTCCTTTACAGTATTATCCAATAAAAGGAGCTGATTTACCCGAAGGAGCTGATTTACCCTAACGAGCTGATTGTGCTCTTGATTATCATCCTCTGATTCTTCAGAATCGAGTTTGAGTCGCTTTAACGGAGACGCCATTTTTATTCAAGTTAATGAAGTCATTAATTCATTTTATACTAATAACACAATAATTATAATACATGCAAAGGTTCAACAGTCTCTGTGTAGTCATAGATATACAAAAACCTAGTTCCATTATCTGAACACTGTTTAAAACTGAGAGAGTTAGATGTGTTTGTATATCTATGGTGTAGTTTTGAATTTTGTTAATCTGATACTACAGACTCGGAATTGCCCATCACTAATGAAATTGTAGATCTAATTTTACAAATTTCAACAAAATACATCAATTTATGGACTGTTTTAGGCACTTAAGACCGAGCCTTTCGGTTAATATTCCAGGGTTCCAGTTCTATTTGTGTAACCAGTCTGAATACAATAAGCAGTATAGTGTCCCTTGATCCAGTACCACTCATAGTACAAGTATAGAGACCACTGTCAGTCTCTTTAACTGAAGCTATAGTGAGGTTGCTCTGTACAGCTGGACTAGTAGAAGGACTGCCACGTTGAGACATAAACTGAGTGTTGTCGCCATTAGCAATAATACCATCAGATGATTTCATGCCTCTGCTGTCCGTCCAAGAAATTTCATAATTAATTGGTAGGTATCCAGTGAAGATACATGATAGTGTGACATCTTTGCCTTCTTCAATAATCACAGTATTAGCTGTTGCTGATACACTACCTATATTGCAACAAAAGAAATAAGAGATACAACAATAATAATAATAATAATAGATATTAATAATTTTAACTTATTTCATATAAATTTAAATTTTAACTCATTATAAATTATTTTATAACTACTGCTACTACTATTCTTCCATTTGCTTCTATAATAATAATAATATTAGGTGCTCATACTACATAACAACTGAGGCACCTATGGTGCGTGGACTCGCCTGCTGAGATTCACCTTAGTGATAATGTGTTGCTTGAATTTGCTTGTACTATAGTATGATATTATAGCAATTTGAAAAAAATTGATTTTGAGTAAACTGCACCCATAAAATAAATTATGGGTTTGGTCGACAGATTAAACATGGCCATAGATATTAGAGTAAATGAAAGGGATTGGAAACTTCCTTTGGTGGCTGGAAATGCTAGTTACAAATACCGTATTAATTTAATCTGATTTTCTATAATTAATCATATCTAAAATTGAAAATGGCTGCAGAAGTACAGGTAACCTTCAATAATGTAGAGGGACACTCTTTCTACTTGCCCAAGTAGTCTGCTGTGGCAATCATTATGTTTGCAGTTTAAATTCATTGTTGATGAACATTGGCAATCATTAATCACCATATATTACATGTTTAATTGTATATTTTTTTGTAATTTATAACCTATCTGATAGAGAGTGTGCCAGTGACCTCTGGTGTGTTATAAAATTTTAACCTCCAAACCTCTTTCAAAGTCAATTCGCCAAATTTTCTAGCTATACGGTATTATGCTTTAGATTGTATGTAGACTCTTACAAGAGCTCTTATTATTACTGTACTAGGCAATAGTAGACTCTTTTAATTCATAACTTACTGAAAAGTGTCAAACTGATTTTACTTGTATTTGTGTTGGGGTTTATAACACCCCATGAATTATTACCCATCGCCAGATAAGAGGCAGAACAGGTATAATCCCCAGCATCAGCAGCACTGACATTAGATAACATTAATATACTAGTCCTTGTGGTATCTGCTAATTTCATTACTCCGTTACTAATACTAACTCCAGGGCCACTCCAAGTCCAATGAAAGGTTCCATTATTAACAACTGTACAGGATAAGTTAAGAGATGGCTGTACTGTATCAGGCTCCAGTGTTTGATTAGGAGACATGAATACAATAGGAAGAGCAGAAAAAGAAATAGGTTCTACAAAAATAAGGAGTCACCATGGACACATATGGACATTAATGTAGGTACCTGTATCTATGAAGAACTTAATTTCACTGATAAAAGTTTTCTGAGTTGCAAAATCTGATGTAGTGGGAGAGAACAATTCAAGTAAAGGAATCTCTTTGGCAGTATTATTATAAGGTTTGGCATTGAGGACAATCATTGAAAGCATTATAGTGTCATCATCAGATTGGGATACTTTATAATTATTAATGAATGTCAAATGGACGCCATGTTTAGGAGTAGGATAGTATATATACATCCATATATGAGGTAGTCCATATCCTAAGGATGGATTACTGTAGTAATATATATCCATGCGATTGAAGAAGTAATTGAAAGGTATATGATCGAAGGAGGGAGTGATTTCAAATCTGTTACCAACGAATTTATCAGGATTAAAGGCCAGTCCTTCATTAGTTACATCATCATACAGTTTGCAGGGATCGCTGATGCAGGTTATCCCATTGATTAATGAGGTGAATGGTTTTACTATAAAACAAAATTAATGCCCCATACATGAGGGTATAATTAACTATACCTTGATATTGTAATGAAGACTGTACAACCAATGACAATAGTAACAAGATCATGCCTGCCTATAAGGAGAGCTCATTTAATTAAGCAATGTGATAAAATTAAAACTGCTATCATGATATTCGATGTTCTTCATGTCCGTCTCAAAGTCATATTAACTCAATTAACACCTGTCTTTCATCACATTATCAAGACACTATGACATATAGTCCAGCATGTTATACTAAATTAGTGAGATTTATTGGATATGGGAAATTTTGGTGAAACTATAGGATGGTAGATTAGATTTTGTCATATCTTTACCATGTGGCAGTTAATATTGGAAATATTTAGCGAGTTTTAAGTTGTGCCTTTTCCAAAATTGCCTGGTAAATTGCCAAGATTAATTGATCACCCAATTAAAAATCTCACTGTAACCTGGGGGAGTCTGTTTTAAGTTACACGCATAGCTCCTGTAGTGTTTTAGGTTATATTATATAACCCACACTTACTGGACATTGTCAGCATCTACTATATACATAATACTACCGACATTAGAGAGAGACAGTCTTATCAATCATGCAGACATGCAGTGTACAATACAATGAATATTCTCATTTCAGTGATTGTGTGCTGTTATTCCGCTCGGCTTCACTCACCGGGTACATGATGGACTTCAGTTAAAGGACCGACTCAGGAGGAGACCAGAGCTTACTCGATTGAGAAATTACTTGAGAAGTCAGAAGTGCTAGTCTGAGTTAACTTATAAACTCAAATGAACTATAAACAGCAACACTGCACCAAAGAGTGTCTTGGACTTCACACACCAGCAGGCTCGCACACGAGAAATCCAACTTGAGGTACGTACGTGTGGACAAAATGGGCAAGGCTTAAACCATTTTATAAAAATGGCTTGCACACGAAAATGAAAATTGAAATTATTGCTTATTTTTTAATGTAAACTACCCAAATAGACTATTCCTAGTTGCATTCTTTGCTAAAATTGCTGGTGGCCATCACAAGCCCAGTCTGAGATGCCATTTAGCACATAAAATAATTACATCATAATGACATAATTATTATTATTAAATCTAATTTTCTTATTAAAATAAATTTGAAACCATTGTAAATATCAAGAGTTAGTCTCTAGCCTCTTCCTCATCTCCCTCCTCTTCCTCCTCCTCTGGTAAATAAAATTCTGAATTATTAATTTCAAACGAGTACGTGTGGAATCTCAGTGATAGAAACACTAGAATTAGTAGTGTAGCCAACAGGTTGAGAGAGTAATAAGATGGAAATAAATACACAAGCCCTTTGTCATTATACGACAACATAATATGCTGGAATAGGACGTACAACTGAAAGAGAGATTCATCAATAAAGACCCTATAGGATCATCATTTTGTCTTACCTCTATTGACATGCTACCCACATACTTGTACACAAAACTATAACTGGACTTTAACTTGTCATTAAAATTACGCAAAATCAGATAACCAAGAACCTATAATTGTACATATAATAGTTATTAAATGAGATACACCTACCATAAAAGACACTAGAAACAAATGCAGCAATTGACTGTACCAAGTGACCCTTGCCTGACTCAAAAATATTAAGTATATCTAAAATAAAAATAATAATAAATTAATTTATTTATACATTTTTATTCACTATAAAGGAGGAGATTGATATTAGCGCTTTTACTGGCTGCCTTGACGATGATGTTGTAGTTGAAGAATTATTAGTTTTATTATAAAAAGCAATGGACACTCCAAGCACTGATAACTTAATGACAAAAAAGAGAAAAAGAAAGTGTGGTTAAAATTAAAAAGAGGGGTCACTGACTTACTATTTTAACTATTAACGATATCATCCACAATTGTCGATTCGGAGATAGTGTGGCAAAATCACCGATAACATGAAACTAAGCAATATTAGGAGGTTGTATGCGATGATCAATGACTAACCTCAACAGCAGATATAATGAGGAGTATAATCAGATTAAACACTAGCTTTAATATGAATACAATTTCTACAAGAAAGAGAGAGAGGGAGAGGGGGGAGGGAAGGAGGCAATATTCAATGATTAAAGTTTCCTCTAACTATTAATATTATTGGAGCTCCCTCCAATCCTAGGCGGTACTGCCATAATAAAGTAGACCACTAGTATTGACTGTGATATGACAAACGGTACAGTGTACAATGTAATGGAGGAGTGGAGGAAAATGCAAAACCATATAACAAGATTAACACAGCGATAAAAAACCTAATAAATAATAAACTGATAACTATTACAATATGAGGGCAGGTTAGTTTACTTTTATTAATTTCTTAATTGAGTAATCATTGTTGTTAAAATAGTAATTGAAAGAGTCGTAAGCTGTTCCAAAGGAGATGAGTCCAACCATGCATAACCACACCCATGAACCAACACCACTCTATTTATAGTATAAATCAGAAATAATAATAATAATAATAATAATAATAGCATAATTACTAACTTCAGATATGTATGAATATTCTAATGACATCATAACTAGTACAGACACGCCTCTTAGTTCAATGATCTGTTCCCGTGGCAACCAATCAACTGCACCTCCTGGAGACTAAATCAAAATAACTTTTCAAAGTTGCTCCAAAATCAGGCCAAAGTCCCTGTACTATAGTACAGGGTCTTTGGCCAAATTTCACCAAAAATGAAAAGGAGAGAATTAGGCAAAATTTCCCCCAAAATCAAAAGTTGCTGTTAACTCTGAGGATAGCACAGGATATTTTTAAAATTAGCATATTTTAAAAAATAAAATAAATCAAAATTTCTATATGGCATAAGGGCATCGATGTGTATCATAAAAGTGAAAAGGTTTATAAAATCACTTGTTTAGGTACAGTCTCCCTCTTCATAAATCCAAGACAAACAATAGCAATTGAGATAAGAAAAAACAACAGGAACGACTGCCAAGGACTAGCTATGACAAAGTATCCAATCCTGAAACAGAGAGGAATGCTATCATACAATGAAAAACTAACATTCTCTATTACCTGTCGGTAGCTACTGCATAAAACAATGATATGAATATGGTACCAATTAAGTTAATGACATAGTAGCAATAATCTAAATTGATCAGTGCTCCTTCAAAATATGGCTCTAGAGCTGCAAAAAGGGGAAGAAAGTAATTATACTATAAATTTATTATTATTATTATTATTATTATTATTATTTACGTATCAAAGTTCCTGTAGCTCTCACAAATACCAGACCACAATACAAAGCAATCCTAAACACAAACAACAAACAAGTAAATACAAACAAGCAAACTGTTTACAGGACAACAAGTGCCGGTGCAATGACAGAAGAATAATAAGATGTGTCAGAGCTAATGCAGCAATTGCCATACTGACTGTCCTTGCATATGAAGTGAACTATAAGCTCAATACCCTAAAAATAAAAAAAATAAAATTAATAAAATAAAATTAAATTAAAGTATTCCAGTTACTTACTTGATCATCTTTTCTGCTTTTATCTAATTTAAATAAAACAACCGACTCAGTAAATTCCTCGTGAGAAGTAATGGCCTCGTTGTATCTGTCGATTAGAAAACTTTGACATTTTCTATCATCCTCACTTAGAATCTCTTGATCTATTTTAAAAAGCAATAACAACAACAACAATAATAATTAATGACTTACCATATAATAACATAATAATTGTAGGTAATTGAGCACCATTCTCCTTTGCTTTGTTCAAAACTTTAATTTGTGAAGCGATTAACGTAGACACCAGTTCTAATCAAAGAGATAACATAATTAATATGACATCATGCTGGATCACTATGACTCACCATTGCATGAATTAGAAGCTCCTCCCAATTCATCTTTTTTATTAATGTATTGGAAATGTTGATGAACAATTAGGGTTGGCATGAATCTTGATGATAACTAGAAAAATTGCTCAATTAATTATTTCAATTATAAAACTTTTTTCACTTTTTGTATGTTATTTTCGTAATAGTCTATGATGCTCTGATCCAGTCTTTCTATCCATAAATAATCCTAATTAAATAAATAAGAATAACCTCTCTTTCTCTCTCTCTCTTACAGAATTAAATTGTTTTTCTTCAACATTAACTGTCAAAGGAATGTTCTATAAAAGACATATTGTAATGACCTCTCTCTCCTTTTCTCTCTCTCACTTTTTGTATTTCTTTAGTAAGATCAGGTATTTCATTGTTACTTATTTCATCTCCGATTATCTTGAAATACTTTAGTAATGATTTCTCTCCAATAAATAAAACATTATGTGACGTAGTACCCTCAAAATTCACACAATTATCTAAGACCCTAAATTGTAAAAACCATTATCATTATCATCATCATCATTATTATTTATTAAAATTAATTAATAATTAATTTAAACAATTAAAATTAACAGGATACATAGGATGTAGGGTATATTACCTAGTTACGTGATATCTGCTAAGAAGACACTGATAAGGATACCATTGCTCACCAACCCACTGACCATAATTGATAACAGAATTACAAGTATCTGTCATTAATTAAAATAAAATCAATAACTATTGTTCATAGCAATAATTTTACCAAGTGCTTTAGGTGGTTTGATGAATATTGCTGTTATTATAATTATTATCGACAAAGTCCCCGTAGCTTTGAGAGAGATGGCCCGCCATTTGCTTTCCTCTGAAGAAGCCATTTTTTCTTTCTTTGCAGCCAGCCCCACCCATTTATAGAGAATGTACATATGTGTGGGTCTTATCAGATATCATTATCATTACTCAATCTATGATTAGATCTACAAGCGTTCAGCTCGACATAGTCTCGACAGACCTATTGCATGAAGTAATGTTTCGTTACCTCCTCCTGTTTCTCTCTTGTATTACTGGTAAGTTCTCTTCTACTCGGTTGTGTACCCTATTAGTCTTTTACAATGATTATTTCCTTTTATAAAATATAAATACATAGGCCTAATCCATTATTCTTCTTATTGTTAGTATTGTTGATTTAAGTGGTAATTTTTTTTAGTTTTTCCCTAAATTGAGCATAACGACTCATAAATTGTGTACACATATGTGTGTGTGGTTAATACATTAATTTTACAGTTCCATTAGTTTGGCATGTGATAAAAGACAAATAATCTTTCAACCACTATAACTCCCCCTCTCTCCTCCTTTTTCCTCTCTTTCTCCCTCTCACAGTATCATTGAGTAATACACCAGAGGCGTATTTAGGGGGGGGCTGAGGGGGCTTGAGCACCCCCCTCAGGGCTGGGCTCAGAAAAAAATTACTAAAGTCCTGGACTCTTGCATCACTACCAAGCCTCTTAACAAAGTTATCTATCCCCCTGGTCATGATTTCAGCAGTTTCCAGTGTTTTAAGGAGCAATCAGAAGTACCAGTAACATAGCAGTATGCTTGAAATGATCTTGGCCCCACCCGTAATTGACGAAAATGCAGGAAAAGGCCGTTTTACCACCGTAAAAGTGGGTGTGGCCAAAATCGCGGCGCGCTTCGCGCGCCCTCGGCACCCCCCTCCTTCAATTTCTAGATACGCCCCTGATACACTATGTTATGGTGAAAGTGAGGATGAAACATAATAATAATGATAATGGTACCTGTTCATTGCAATCTCCACATGACTACTGCGTTTTTTTTTATTAATAACCATAAAACAGTTACCAGAGGTTGTAGACATAGAGATCCAGGTGACATTGGTACTATAATTTGTCTCAATCACTGGATACATGATCACAATAACAGATCATTATATTGCTGTCAAGGCAACTATTGTAATGGGTGTCCAGATATTGAGAGATTGTGTGAGATTAAAAGTCTACTGAATGTCACTGATCCTCCTCCTGAATGTAATACCACTCTTCTCACCTGTACTCCTTCTAGTTCTATCTCAATGACTAGTACTCCTGGGATTTCATCGTGTAAGTATTTTTGTTTATGCCACATGTGCATATTCATGCTGGTCTCTCTATTTTTCCCTTTTTCCTTTTCCTATTATTCTCTCACTGCTGTTCCTTTTCTGCTTCCTCTCATTTTAGCTCCAATCCCTTCTTCGTCAGTTACTGTGTCCAGTACATCTGTCCCTACCCCCAATGGATTTTCTCAGACTTGCATCACCTTTATTGCCACAGTCACCTTCTTATTCACATTCACAGTATAATTTTAGTTTCCTGTTTTTTTTAATTTTTAAGTTTTAATTTAAATTTAATTATGATTAACTTTATTAAAACCATAGATATTAAAACTAAATTTTGCAGTAAAGAAGTTTTTATCTTTTGTTGCTCTCTTCAAATTCTCTATCAAGTTCGCTTTCATTCACCACATGATAGAAAGTAGAAGTAGAGTATTTAGTAGATCCTTGAACTCCAAAATTAAATCTATAACTTAGTCTTTTGCATTCGACTACAACAATATGAAAAATAAAAGCAGCTCCAGCTGCAAAACTGGAGCCAGGAATAAAAACAGCACTTGCTACAAATAAGCCAAAGTTTGGTGCACCAAATATAAATTCATAGAATCGATTCGTGGCTGGTACGATGAATAAAGTGCAATAAATGAGAGGGTAAGCAAGAAGGGGAAGCAGCATAATTAGGACTTGTCTTTGTGTCCTTGCTTTTTGAAGCAACTCGGCTCTTTCTCCCGCATTCTGTTGTCTCACTCCTTTATTACAGCAAATTCTATACGTCATGACAATTATTGTTGCCGTAGCTAGTAATGAGGTGATGGTGAGTACAAATAGTCCTGGACCATACCATATTGCAAACTGCTGTATCTGTCCTTCTAAATCACTTGAGCACGAGTTACGACGACCAATTATCCAGCACCATGGTCCAGCACGACCATATGAGTGAGTGAATAATGGAACACTAGCCACCAATGGCCCTACCAACAGACCCAGTACTACTAAGGGTATTTCTAATTTTCTCATATTCTTGAACCAAATGGCATAAACTATTAGATGGACTGTTATCCATACGGTGAATATTAACTTCGCCCATGATATTGATATAATTATATATGCCATGGCCTTACATAAAATGTTATAACCGTTCCCTCTATTATTGTAAGCATCAAATATAAGCAGAAACAGTTGCATTGATCGTGTTAGTCCAAAGAACATTGCTGCAGTAACTTGATACATAGCCAGCCTGTAGGCATATTTTTTGTACAGCTTGAGGATACACGACATTAAGAGTCCAATCAGACATGTCAGCATTGATGCAGCACCCACCGATCCGTATATTATCAACAGAGTGTGGTTTTCATCCTCAGAAATGGGTGAACATGATGAGTTTAGATCTAAATCCCCCAAGCTCGCCATCATTTGAATTTCCAAGTTCAACACCCAACAAGAAATAAGGTCAGTAGAGTAGTAGACTCACTCGTGATAACTATCGTAATTCCGATAATCCGATTAGATCGAGGGATTAGATGAATTTAAATTTGAGATCTACATATTCATTCTATTTTCATTTTCGATATTTAAACGGCACTGCAATTTTAAATTTAACCATTACTAGCCACACCTACAAAAGGTGGGGCTAATAATCTAATAGGTAACTTCATAAAAGCTGAACTTCATTACATGATCAGGGGAGTCTTTGAGTCATTTTGCGACAGCGTGAAGTATGCTTCGTTTCTTAACTTTCCTTTTTCTGTTTCTCTCTTGTATTACTGGTAAGTTTTTTTGTACTTGTTTGTGTACCCTATCTAGTGTTTTACAATGATTTTATAATAAAAAATCATAATAAAAAATACATAATTTATTACTCTTCTTATTGTTAGTATCATTGTCTAAGTGGTAAATTTTTAGTTTTTTCTAACTTGAGCATAACGATTCATAAATTCAAATAAAATGTGTATGTGTGTGTTTGTGGTTCATGCATTAATTTTACAGTTCAATTACTTTGGCATGTGATAAAAGACAAATAAATCTTTCAACCACTATAACTCCCCCCTCTCTCCTCTATTTTCCTCTCTCTTTCTCCCTCTCACAGTATCATTGAGTAATAGACTATGTTATGGTACATATGATACAAGTGATAATGATGCATATAATAATGATAACGGTACCTGTTCATTCCAACCTCCACGTGACTACTGCTTCTTTGCAATTAATAACCATAAAATAGTTACCAGAGGCTGTAGTCAGAGAAATCCAGGTGACATTGGTACTTTAATTTGTCTCAATCACTGGATATATGATCCCATTAATAACAGATCATTATATTGCTGTCAAGGCAACTATTGTAATGAATGTCCAGATATTGAGGAATTATGTGAGGAGTATGCTCAAGTTACAAGTCTACTGAATGTCACTAATCCTCCTTCTGAATGTAATACCAATCTTCTTACCTGTGCTTCTTCTAGTTCTATCTCAATGACTAGTACTCCTGGGATTTCATTGTGTAAGTATTTTTGTTCAAAATTTGTTTATAGACATGCGCATATAGTCATGATAGTCTCTCTATTTCTTCTTTCTTCCTATTCCTATTATTCTCTCACTGCTGTTCCTTTTCTGCTTCCTCTTCTCTTCCTCTCATTTTAGCTCAAACCCCTTCTTCATCAGTTACTGTGTCCAGTACACCCACCCCTACCCCCAATGGCTTATCACAGACGTACATCGTCTTTATTTCAGCCACAAGCACCTTTTTATTTATACTGATACTGATAATTGTTGGGTTTTTTGTGTTCTCGTGTATTACTCGTGGAAGGAGGAGAGATCCTTCAGATCACATTATAGAGATCACTGACGTCTCTTCTTCTGGTGTCAGCAGCAGTCTAAGAGGGCCACGCCTTCTCCAACAGAGAACAATGTCGCATGATGTGACAAAGATCAGTGTCATTGGACAGGGACGTTTTGGAAAAGTCTGGCGGTGTGAGTTGATTTATAATTAAATTAGTGTACAAGATGATTTATTGGCGAGAGTAAGATTTGGTGAATTTGCCTGTGGAAAATAATTGGCGAATTTTATATTGGCGATTTTGTGCCATGTGCCATTGAGCATGCTCAGATTGAAACAAAATGGCAGATTTTACATGTATATCGGTAATTTCTTCATAGAACCGCCAATTGCCAATATTTATTCCTCACCAATAAATCATCTTGTACTGTAGTTTGTAATATTTTTTGAGGTTAAATTTAATTTTTTTAATTTTTTTGTTTAGGTTCTTATGAAGAGAAGCACATAGCGATGAAAGTCTTTAAGAATATGCACATGGCTGTCTTCAAGAGGGAAGTGGAGATCTATGACACATATATGCTGTATCATGAGAACATACTCAGATTCATAGGCCACGATCAAATCGAATTTGGTGAGTTTTGTCTACTTCTTCTCTTCAGTTTCATGATTTGAATTTACAAGTTGATTTAATTTGCAAGATTATTTCCTAATCTGATTTATAAATTAAAATATTATTTTATTATTTAGCTGATACCATAGAACTACGACTTTACACTGAGTATCACGAAAATGGAACTCTACAGGTAAAAATAATGATATTAATTAAATTTCTACCATTTGTAATGCTAATTAGGATTATCTAAAGTCCAAGCCTGTTTTTCATTTTCCTGAATGTCACCAAATGGCCGTTTCTCTCTCATCTGGACTTACATATCTACATAAAACGATAGTTGCTGGTAAAATAAAACCTGGTAAGTCTTTTTTCTCTTTTTTTCTTATTATTTCTTTATTTTAAAGGTATTGCACACAGGGATTTAAAGTCCAGTAACATATTAGTTAAAACAGACTACACTCTCTGTATAGCTGATCTTGGTTTGGCAATAAAACAGAGTGAGAGTGGAGATGGTGTTGACCAGATACCTGCCAACAAGCTGTCAGGTTAGTGACATTATGTATCCTTATACCTTACCGATTTGTACCTAAAACTAGCTCAAACTTTCTACATAGCTTAAGGACATCAATATGCATCAGAAAATCTAATTAAAATTGGGGGTGATTTTGGAGCCATTTTTTGGAAAAAAGCATGGGCTATAGTACAGGGTATTTTTCAGAAAATGGCCAATTTTTTTTAAATGGCCAATTTTTTTTAAATGGCCAATTTTTTAAAATGGCCATAACTTGAAAAATTGAAGTCGGAATCAGCTCATAGCATAAGGACATCAATAAGTATCAGAAAATGTAATAAAAATTTGGGGTGATTTTGGAGCCATTTTTGGAAAAAAGCATGGGCTATGTATTTTTCAGAAAATGGCCAATTTTTTAAAATGACGATAACTCAAAAAATTGAAGTCGGAATCAGCTCAAACTTTCTACATAGCATAAGGACATCAATATGTATCAGAAAATGTAGTAAAAATTGGGGGTGATTTTGGAGCCATTTTTTGGAAAAAAGCATGGGCTATAGTACAGGGTATTTTTCAGAAAATGGCCAATTTTTTTAAAATGGCCATAACTTGAAAAATTGAAGTCGGAATCAGCTCAAACTTTCTACATGGCATAAGGACATCAATACATATCAGAAAATGTAATAAAAATTGGGGGTGATTTCGGAGCCATTTTTTGGAAAAAAGCATGGGCTATAGCCTTGGGTATTTTTTAAAATTTTGGCGTTTTCTTAAAATGGCCATAACTTGAAAAATTGAAGTCAGAATCACCTCAAACTTTCTACACAGCATAGGAACATCAATATGTATCAGAAAATGTAATAAAAATAGGAGATGATTTTGGAGCCATTTTTTGGAGAAAAGCATGGGCTATAGTACAGGGCATTTTCTGAATCAGCTGAAACTTTCTACATAGCATCAGCGCACTGATATAGAAAACATAATAATTTTTTTTAGTGTCATTTACCACAATGAGAAGTGGAATTAGCTGGTATAAATGGATTTTTCTCTATAGGCACTAAAAGATACATGTCTCCTGAGATACTAAATGAGAGCTTAGACTATGGACGCTTTATATGCTATGCACAGTCGGACATTTACTCCTTCTCTCTTATAATTTGGGAGATTTTCAATTGCTGTGAAATTGACGGTAAGAGCACTTACATGTGTACATACATGTACATGTACATGTACATGTACATGTACATGTATGCATGAAACTATACATGCACTGTGTGTGTGTGTGTGTGTGTGTATAATCCTTATGATTAATTTGTGTTTGTGGTAAAATATTATGTAAATTGTGTGGGTGAGCTATCATGCACATTACAATAATTATTATTGATAAAGAAAATGGTGATTAATGAGTGGTAAATGCTAATATTATTATTTTTGTAGGCGTCCCACGCTCTTATCAACTGCCTTACTGTGAATGGGTTCCCACAGATCCAGATATCGATCAAATGAAACAATGTGTATGCGTGAACAATAGAAGGCCTACCATACCTGATTCTTGGACAGAGAGTGAAGTAAGATACTCGACTTTTAGTGCATTAAGTGTATACATGTATGTATCAAGAAATATCAAGAGAGAGAGAGAGAGAGAGTGAGGCAAATGTTTAGCGTGAAAATTATGTTATTTTTTATTGTAGACTTTGAGTCCTATAGCGAAGTTGCTAGACAGTTCCTGGGCAACTCAAGCATCAAGCAGAATATCTGCATTAAGAATATCAAAAATTTTAAAAGGAATCGACTTTAAAAAAGAAAAGATACAAAATGAATAAGTATTATTGAAATAAACAGAACTAATGTGAAATGAATCAATGCTCATCAATTATTATCATTATTATTATTTTTCTTGTTGTTGTTGTTGTTGTTATTTATCAATCTATATGGAATGCTATCAGACAGTGTAACATCACAATGCTTGGTATTTCTACCCATATAAAATCCTCTTGCACGTTTATATGCATTACGTAGTGCATACAGCAATATGTAAAACATTGGTATCATAGCAAATATCCATGCTATCACAACTAGAGCTATGGATGAGCCCAGTGGCCCATACGAGGAGTTCACTGGTGAGAATGTCATCACTATTGATATGAGGATTGAAAGGAATATACCGTGTATTAGGTTGGCCCATTTCTGTCGATAAGGCTGAATGTAAGTCACTAATATTATCCCTGTAGCCAGTGCTAGTGGTAGTACTAAGTATCTGATGTTATCTCCAAATGGTGTGTTAAGGATAGTAACAATCACCAGTCGTGAGATAAGGTCTATGCCAGCAAAATATCTGCAGTCTTTTTCTCCGTGGCTCACCCCGTCTTTATAAGAGCCGTAGAATACATCAGCAAATGCAGCCACCGAGAGTTGGAAGGGACATCTACAACGTGAAAACAATCTCTTTGAGTGTCCAATTAAAAGTATAGGGGGAAGGAGTAACAGAAAGAGGAGCAGTATTGCAGTTATGGAGTATGGAAGATGCTTATCACCAAAAAAGAAATAGTCAGGCTGCAAATAAACTTTAGTAGCTATTGTAGGCTCGTAAGATTCAACAGTTTCATAAATGTATACAGTAACAGGTGAAAGTAGAGAGGCTGATGTGTAGAGGAGCTTTGTATAAGAGAGAAGAAAGAAAGTAGCAAACACGTTTATCATGTTAACCTTGATATTCCAATATCTCTTGAGTTTACCCATGCTCAGGTAGAGAGGACGAGCAAGAAGAAGGAGAGGCTTGCAACCACAGTCGTACAAATTACTCAATAATATCAGTATAAGTGTAAGACCAAGTGGTAGCCCAGCACTGAGGTATTGCAGGGTCCATACATGTATGTTTGTCATCCCAGGAGAAAGGCAGAATGGCGGGAGTAGAGTCTTGAAGAAATCAAGATTCCAAAAGCCATAAGGAACAGTGACCAGGTGAAATAGCACACTGCCCCAGTTTGAGTCCAATTGATGGAACTGGTACTGGAGTTGAGTGACAATGAAAGGATGACTTATGATTTGACTGTAAATGACAAAAGCATTCATTCTATCAGATGACACTCTTACACTGAATAGTGTTAGTACAAAACAGAAAACGATTCCTGGTAGCACATTGAGGAGTAAGAAGTAAATGATTCTTTTCCACATCCCATTACTGCTACATTTCACACAAATGAAATTGTAAGAGTTTACAGCTGTGCTATAGCCCTCTTGACATCTACTGCATAAAATCCCTTCTCTTTTCATTCTACCACAAGAAAACTCATTCAATGCTGACATGCTTTTCAACTTATCCAAGTCCATATAGTTATCAATCCATTCTTCATCTACTGCAGGTGCAATAAGAGGCTGGTAGAATTGTTGAGAGCTGACAAATATGCTGTCGCTAGAGAAATCATAGTACATTAGCCAACCTCCTTTCAAATAGAAGAAATGTGAGGACCAATCAGAGTGACATTTGATGAAATATTGTGATTTGACACAAAGGCATTTATGGTTTGTCCTGTTGAAATAATTTCCAGGAGGACATCGCCTGATGTAAGCAGTTACCTTTGTTGTAGCCGTGGTGTCACCAACAGACCAAAATGTTATAACTTTTGAATGGTTTAATCCATTCTTTGAAGCAAATGACATTTTCGGAACAATGAATGGAGTTGAGGCTTCAACATAATTAGCATAAATGGTTTCTTCGCTTGAATTCTTGTCATCAAATGACACAAACACTACTGGAGTTATCAGAGTTACTTCATGCCCAGATTCATCATATGTTTGTATTGGTATATCTGTCTCCTTACCACTCAATGCAGTAAAGAGACTGTCATTGATGATAACTGATGGGCCAGTCATTATCTGATCCTTGCAAAGATTTCCTCTATAATCCCATTCCCCAGAGCAGAGCACATCCGATAGATCTACATGAGGAGAAACACTACTGCACACATTGAAAGATGCTATATAAATAGATCCATTGAGACCACTGCTAAGTAAATTATCTACAAATGTCATAGAGCAATTACATTCCTTTGAAAGACTTTGTCCATTTTTATTATCTTCGAACAATAGGAAACAGTTCTCAGCACGTCTTGGTACCACATGTGAGAAATATAAAGCAGGGCCTTTATTCACGGCACTATTGCTAGCAAAGAAAGCTTCAAGACCTTTTCTAATAATGATTGAGCTTCCATCATACAGTGCAATAGCACCACCATTCATTCCAGTGTTGCTTGTGAAGTTAGCATTACCACCAATGCTAACTGTTACTGGTCCACCAATGGTAATACCTGATGCAGCATTGTTAGTAATACTGGAATCACCACCAAGCCATAGAGAAGAATAGTGACTAACTATAGTACCATATTCACTTACGAGTGTTGTAATGTTAGTGCTGTGTTCTATTGTATTATGCATGAAGGATGTGTCACTGATGTACACAGTATGACTCGTTGCAGTGCCTTGTATGTGAAGAGCAGCTCCTTTGTAAGCTTTATTGTGAAGGAAGAGACAATTTTGAAATGTCACATTCTCGTGGCCAGCTAAGGCAGCAGACATTCCTCCTCCAGCAACAGCCGAGTTCAGAGAAAAGTTAGTTTGTGTGAAAGTAATCCTGCAGTTTCGACATGCATTTAAAAAAACACCACCTCCCCTGGTTGCAGTGTTGCTAGTGAAAGTAGAGGAACTGATGGTTATGTTATGCTTTCTCCTACCACTTACATCAACAAGCAGGCCAGCACCTCCAAAGGCAGTATTATTAATAAAATGGACAGTATTCAATATCACACTAACATTGCTATTATCTCCTCTAAATCTATAGTCCCTGTATCTTTCTTTAATAACAAGCCCACCATTAACATTGCGTATAAAACATACATTGTCAAGTTTAGCATATTTATGAGCTCTGAATATTACTACTCCACTGCCAATGGACCCCTCCAAAAAAACATTGGTTAGCTCAAGGGAGCAATTCACAAACAAAAGAGCATGAGACCCACAATCAATAAACTTCATGTTGCTTGCTTTCACTTGGGAAATGTCTTTGAAAATCAATCCAGAATTCCCATTGCATTTTATAGTAACAATGTCAGCCTCTGATGAATGACCAATCATAAATATATAATGGTGTTGCTTCAGCATGACTGAGTCTTGTAGGAAGAGGCTAGAGTCTTCAATAAAAACTGTGATATTGCTAGCTTCTTTTGCTGTGCCAGCACTGACTGCATATTCAAGACTGCGGCAAGGGACAGTTCTAGGTGAATAAAGACAGAGAAAGTTATCCATTCCATCCTGGTGCACACGAAAGGCTAAACACTGCAAAGAAAGGATGAGAGACACAAAAATACTAACGAGCATAATGACAAATGTAGTTCCTACTCAAACTGATAAACAGCAAGATTATCAGCTTCTTTTATAAACACAACCATTCGTGACGATAATAGTGTTAAAATTTATAAATATTATTATTAGTTTGTGTTAGTCACAAAGCAAGCACACACACAGTTTCAGTATCTTAATTCACATCATGCACATGGACAAAAAACAAAAACAGTACAGTACCTGCCTAATACAACAACAATAATAATGATAATAATAATCATAATAATAATAATAATTTTAGAAAAAGCCTAAGTAGACTATAGCAAATCTATGATGGGGACATAAGTCTCAAAATCTCAAATAATATAATTCAGTTTATAATAGCTGCAGAAACCAACAAAGACTAGTCAAAAGAGACTTCAAATCCTTCATTAGTAGAAGTAGAGGCACCAAAAGCAGAGCTGAATCCATCCTGGTCGTTGGAAGGAGAAGGCTCAACCTTTGAAGTAGCTACTACATTAGGCTCCTCAGCCGGGCTGGTTTCAACTGGAGCAGGAGGAGAGGGTGTAGTGACTCCTCCTGTGCTACTGGTATTACTACTGGAGAGTAATGTCTGAAGGTTTGATCTAGCTCCAGCTAGGAACAAATCCAAAGTACTTAGTACGCGCTGAGTGGCAGCATCTCTTGTCTAGAAAGAGAGAGATGGGGAGAAGGAGGAGTGTATTAGTAGTATGTACATTGTGATTTGTGCTATTACTTTTGCAACGTCTTCCATTTTTGATTGGACAAGGTCTCGTGTTCTTTCAACTGCTCTCTCAATAGCAGCTGCACTCCTTTCCCTCTCTTCCTCAAGAGCTTTCTCAAGTAGCTCCTTTACATCAAAATAACAACAATAATTTATAAAATAAGGTTTGCGACAGGCAAACCTTTGACACTTCTCTCTCCTGCTCTACGGCTTTAGCAATAGCTTCTAGTGTCTTCTCTCTTTCTTTCTCTAGTTCTTTGACATGTGAAGCCTAAAGAGTAAAATATATTAAATTATGATTTAGACAACCGTAACTCAATAAATACTACGGTCAAGATTTGCTCATTCTACATGGATAAGATCATCAAATTATGAATGCTTTGGAGTCATTTTGAAGTTAAAATTAACATGTATTTGAACAACACATTCTATTTTTGAAAATAAACCTAGACTAGTCATTCTCTTCTCACCCCCATATCTCTCATTTCTGGTTACTTTTAATTCTTCAAGCGCCTCTTGGCTTTTCTTTCTCTCTTCCTCCCAAGCTTTTTCAATGGCTGCAGATGCAGCATCTTTCTCCTCCTTCAGTGCTTGGTCTAACTTCTCCTTGTAAGTCTCTTCAGCATCAGCCATTGCCTTTCTCAAGAGCTCTTCGTGATTCTCTCTTGCCTTCTCTACTGCTTCTTTAACTTTTTCTTCATTCTTAGTCCTCTCCTCATCCAAAGCTAGAGTAAGTCTATAAATAAACAAAAATTAGATACACAGTAATTTTGTTCAAATTAAAGTTTTGTGGATCATTCAAAAAATTAAATTTCCAGTTACAAAACCTCAATTTCAATTATATATTTAATTACGCTCCTTTTGTAAATTAGAATCAATTAGAAGTACAATTATTATGACACAATTACAATTATGTAATTGACCCCTGGTCTGGTACATGTACATGTACATACCTCTCATGCTGTTCCTGTATCTTTTGTTGCGCAGTCTCTTGCTCTCTCGAAATAGCTTCCTGCAATAAACCTTCTCCTCTCTCTCTCTCCTGACTAATGGCCAACTGGATCTGTGCTTTATATTCTTCAACAATCACTTTAAGAGTCTCGTGTCCGGCCTCTCGTATCTGCTCCAGTTCCTTGGCATGCCTTGCCTCCATTTCACTGATCCGCTTCTGTTGCTCTTCAATTTCCATTTTCTGTTCCTCAAGCTGTCGATCTTTATCGTCTCTGGAGCGCTTCAGAGCTTCATGCTCCTACATATGTATATGAACAACCATAAAACAACTTGTAATAACTGAATACTAAACCTTCTGAATCCTTTGCTTCTCTTGCTCAAGGAGGGAGAGCTTCTGCTCAGTTCCTGCAAGTTTCTCGTTTGCTTTGTCTTTTTCTGCTTGAAGCGCCTCAAACTCTTCTGCATTTGCAGTAGCTCCAACCATTGATGGACGCTGAAGAGACTGTGCAACCTACAGTATTAGTAAAGAAATAAACAAGAGAGAAATGAGAGAGAGAGAGAGAGAAAGAAGAGGGGGAAGAAAGAAGAGTAAAGTCTCACGTACCAATGGCTGCTGTTGACTGCTGGGAGGAGAGTCGAATCCAAAGAGGTCAGGTTCTTGTTTTGGCTGTTGCTGTTGGGTTGGTTGAAGAGACTGAGCCGGTGAGCTACTCTCAAACGATGCAAATGCATCCTGGTCACCAAACCCTGTCTGTGCCGGGACCTGTTGTGGCTACATTAGAACAATAATTACTAATAATCACTGACGCTATGTAGACATTATGACTAGGAGAGTAATCAGAGACAAGGTAACATGAAACAGGTAATATATAATCATTGTGATAACTCTTCATTCACTATCAGCATCAACTGATAGCTACATTAACATAATGTACACATGTATGGCTAATTGGTTGTACCTGTAGTTGTACATGTACATTACTCCACATTCTTTTATTATGTTAATGCAATTAGTCACACGTTCACTGCATTCAACAGAGCCCACCGTAATTTATATATTATTTTATTATTATTATCATTGTTGACATTGTCGGTACTTAAAATCTTATTAATAATTAATAATAATAAAATACTTGTTGTTTAGGAGAAGGAGGGGGAGGAGCTTGTTCCCGGGAGTCCTCAAAAGCAGCAAATATATCATCGTTTTTAGGAGTTTCCTTAGGCGAAGATTTCTAAAAAGAAATCCCAGTATATTCAAGTACATTATTAGGATACTATTAGGAAACTAATAGGTACGTGCACTCACTGGAATAGGAGGTGGAGGTTGGGTTGGTTGTTCCGGTGCAGGAGTCTGTGGTTGAGGGGGTGGTGTCTGCTGTTGAGGAGGCGTGGCATGTTGCACAGGCGGAGTCGCCTGTTGTGAAGCAGGCGGTTGTGAAGTAGGCGGAGTCTCTTGAGATGGGCCTTGCTGCTGCTGTATGAGTTGCTGCTGTAATTGGCTAGCAATGAGGTGGAGTTTCTGATACTGACCGACGCCCACTTGAAGCTGCTGAGTCAGCTGATTAATCTACACGTGCATACCAAATAACCTCTAATTAACAAGATACGGAAAAATTTACCTTAGCTTGATTCTCAACGGGGTTCTTTTGAAGTTCCTTCAATTGCTGTTGACCTCCGCTCAATTGAACATGCATTTGTTGAAGTCTTTGCCTGTACTGTTGGAGCTGTAGGGCCTGACTTTGATTGACACTAGCACCAGGAGGTTGGCTTGAAGGAGGAGCATGTTGTGTGGGTGGAGTAGCTGGGAGGGGCCTATCACGCATCGAGGGACGTTTAACTAAAAGGAGGAAATGGATAAAGAAAGAATTAGAGAGTTTGACAAACAAAATTGCATATTTTATTAATCAAAACTGTTAAAGTAAACTCCTTCCATGAACATAATGTGTGTGGTTAATGAGTGTGCGACTATGTACATACATGTGCGTGTACATGTATGCGTGAACATGTTTTGATAATTCAAGATGCGTACAAAATAAACTACAGAGGAGAAGCTGTTGTGTCAATTGAAATGTTACTTATTCTCAGAAAAATAAAAAACAACAAACATATTTAGCAAAACATCAGCAAAATTTTTTTGTAAGCAAGAAGACGGAAAATTACATGTACATGTACAGTACGGTATTCATTAACTCTAGATAGATAATGGAAGATATGCTAGCACCAAAAATCATCAATTATATGATAAATCACTGGCATATTTTTAATTTAACGTAGAGACAGCAACCAAATGAATACAATTAGTGGGAGGACACTAACAAACAAACCAGTGGAACTGATATGCTCACCACTTTCTCCGGTCCCTCCTTGAGCAGCTGGCTGTCCCCCTTGCTGCCAGTTTTGAGATCCAAAACTTGCCCATTCTCCACCACTTCCACTTTCCTATTTTGTTAATAAAAGAGTGGCGGGTTTTAATCATATTTTACAAGGAGAGGGTGTAATCCTCACGTTGTTAGAGCCGTCTCCTTGCTGCCCAAAGCTAGCCCAATCTCCTCCACTCATGACGCGAGAAAGAGAAAGAAAGACCGAGAGAGAATGACTTACAGTAGTTCCAGGGCAAAAACGGGGCGTTAAAACAAACCACGCCTCCATCAGACAATTAATAAAGGCGTGGCTTTGTTCTAATTAGCCCCACCCTACTGCAGCATGGCTTTTCACTTCAAAGCTATTCTTTTTGTCACCTCGCTTTCTCTCCTGCTTCACACTCTACTCCTGTACTGCCCGGTGGATATATTGTTCAAATCCAAAGATCCATTGCCTGTAAATGCTCTCAGACCTCAATTGCATTCCCTCCTTCCTCCTGCAAACAGACTCGTCTTGTTTATTGTGAGCAATGCAACTGCCAGTGATGCATACTCGGTAAAGAACGAGGACCAACCAGACTTACCTTTCATACGCAGTGTCATTAGGAAGAAAGGAAGATGGGGGATATCTTATTTTAGCAATAGTGATGCTAATGATGACTTTTATAATAATAATAATACCAGGAACTCTCTTCCATTTTTGACTGGTACTTATAGTGACCATAATGAAGATACTGTGCTTAGGTCAGCAAGCAAGGTCTGGATATGGTGCAGCCACGATGGGTCCTGTTTGAATAATGACACTGGTACTATCACTCATTTGTTTGAATCTCCAGTAACAGCAGTGACAACATCCAATGCGTCGCTTAACTGGATGTCTGATCACATTGAAAACTTATTTCTAGTCAAAGGAAACGAAGAGACAGTGGGCGAGGAGCTAATGAAAGACAAGACGATATTTTATTTTAATTTTGGATCAGCAGATCTGTCTAGCATTGATACAGCCATGCAAAACATATCGAGTTTCTTTGATTCATACTACAAAGACAGAAAGACCACATTCGTATTTACTGCATCAGTACTTGGTAATGCAACTATCGAGTCTTTACCATTGATGCTGCCATTTGTAGCATGGGGTGCTGGGATTAAGAATCCACGCTCAAAACACAGCAGTTTACTAACAGTTCACGATGAGTGGTCAGAGCAGTGGGGACTAGAGCGCCTTGAGAGAGTGGATCTGGATCAAACTGACATTGCACCTCTTCTCTCCATATTAATTGGTACACGGATACCTCTTCATTCGTTGGGGGTACTACCTGTACACTATATTCATTATAATAAGGAGTTCTTTGCCCAGGCGTTTTATTCAAACGCTTTGCAGCTGCTGGAGTTAGTCACTGCTAAAGAAAAGAGCCTTCATTCACAGTCTTTGCCATTTCTATTTCGCCCCTATCACAAGTTAACTCAGGAAATTAAGCACAAGAGGAAAACAATGATTTCCAGTTACATTAAACAAAGGAAGTTACAAGAAGCTCTTGATCTCTCAATGGAATTAGCATCACTTGCTAAAGAGGCCATTCAATATTATGATGTCTATCATCAACTTTCCGTACGACTGATAATGGCATCACTCCTCTTAGGTTGGATATCTTATCTTGTTACTATACTGACCAGACAAGATCATGATATGGAACCAGCAGACTCAAGAAAGAGAGGATTGTACTATTTTATTATATTTTCTTTCATTTTGGGGCTTGGATTTCTACTCTGGTATCAAGGCATGCCTCCTCATTTCATGATCTATTTCTGTGGAGCACTCCTTCTCTGGTCTAGTGCTATCAACAATTGCAACTATGTGAGTCGTNTGATAAAGGAAAGCTCCAAGAATCCTGCTCAATTTTACACAAGTAATTTTATCATTTTGGCTAGTATTGCTGGAATTGAACTAGTTGTATTGAGTTTTAATGGAAGACCGTATTTACTCTCTTTGCTATGGATGGGTCTCTCATTGTGGCCACTTTTAACTAAACAAGGTAGAGAGAACTTCCATTCATCATTGTACTGGTCAGTCTCGTGTGTAATAATGACTGTATATCTATCTATACTGTCTAAAAGTAGCGTGCCATCTATTCTAAATACAGCAGTTGGTTTATTAGTGGTTGCATTGGTATTGTTCCTTCTTCTAAAACCATCTATCAGCTATGCACTAACAAGTCCCAGTTCATCTTTGTTCAACTCAAAAGTTACCCTATGGATCCAATTGTTGTTGCTCCTCCTAGCCATTTTCATTAGCAACCCACTAATAAAGCTGTATGTCAACACCCATTATGTGAAGTTAGGTGTTGTATTGATGTCCTTGACACTTTTACTTGGTTTGTCATTGAGTGTTTATGGCCGTCTTTTGCAATTAGGATTATTCATGTTAATTCTTTTCATTATTTCATCTAATGGCAATAACGGGTCGATAATCTTCTTAGTTTTATTAAGCCTATGTCATTACACTTGGCTAGTTGTGGAAGATTTGCTGATTAACAGAAAAGACAATAAAGTGACTAGCCTATGTGATGGTGTTATAGCTTACAAGCCCATTGAGACTCCCGTTCTCATTCCAAGGAATGAAATATCAAATACGGAATATACTACAACTTTTAGAAGAGCAGTGATAGCATTTACTGTAATAGCGACTTCCCTTCATCACCTTGACTGTCCTAATCTATTACATGGTTATCAAGATGAACTGGTATTGTTTAGCTCTCAATTTATTCTACTGATAACTACTACATTGTGCTGTTATAACATTCTGGGTTCTTTGGCAAAGTCCTCGCTATTGGCCAGTTTAATAATTCTAACTGTTACTGTGGACCTGATGCCTCTTCACTTTCTTTTCTTCATTGAAGGAACTACTACTAAAGATGAGAGTTTGATTTATTTTTATGTCAGTATTGCTCTAGCAATGTTGCTCCCTTTTCTATTGCTCATTGTTCAAGTGCTGACAGGCAGAGTGATCATTCCAAGGAAATCTGATGGGCTAAATGATTGACGGTATATAGTACTTATTTAAATAATAATTATTAAAAATAATATAATTTTTGTGATTGAACAATAATGACTTTCTTTTTTGATATTTTTGAAATGTTGAATTGTTTTTCTAACTTTGAGACAATAGTTTAGTTAGGTGGCTGTAACTATAAATAGATAGCAATTTTAAGATAATAATTATTATTATTGTATTTACCCTTTCTCATTGAGGAGGTCAAGGAAAGCATTAAATTGCTTAAAGGTACCCTCTATTGTTTGAATAGCTTCATCATCCAGACTACTACTACTGCCTAGTAAGTATGTTATAAGTAATACAAAATTGATTATACATTAGGACCTTACCTTTTAAAGACTGCTTCTCCTCAAATAAAAATAAAACAAAATAAATTATTGTAATTATATGGAAGGATCTTACTTTTACACTGCTCAGGAGTAACTTGTTCTCTTCTTCAAGCTAAAATAAATAAAATGAAAAATTTCCCTCTTTGACTCTTTCATCTTTTTCTTGTACCTGATTAAGTCTTGTTTTCAATTCAAGCCTAGCCTTCTCTTCTTCTCTTAATTTGTTGTGACATCTCACAACTTCACTTTGCAACTGTTGAAACTCCTCCATTGTCATTGTGACTTGTATCGGCTTAGTGTGATGAGCTGCTGCTTCATTGGTAGTAGTAGTACCATTGGTTAACGATCCATTGCTAATACAAGATGATGAATAGTGAGACTTCTCTTCATCTGTACTGCTTAATCTCTATACAGGTATTCAATAGGTAACATTGTAAGAGTTGTGTAGCATACTGTACCTTAGAAACTGAGGATGGCAGTGAGTTTTTCCTATCAATGAAATAAAGATACATGAATGCATACATGTACATGTACATGCTATTGTACATGTACGTGATGATATTATTACCATCTTTGTGATGGTCTAGCTGCTGTCCTCCAAGGCTGGCCTTTCCTCTTTAGTTTAGTTTGACCAGAAGGAACATGATGATGAGTCACTATACAGTATTACAGTGTATGTCTAGCAAAATATACTTCAAATTCACTAACCTGGTAAAGCCGATGATGGTTTCTTTCTTCTCCTATATATTGGTACACCAGCAGTTTTAAGGAGGTCGTGGATTCTACTAATCTCAACATCCAGCCATTCATATCTCTGCATTATAGTTAAATATAATTATTGCTTTAATGTTGACTTTACATTTTTCTCAAAGCCTTGGCTCCCTTGCCTTTTCGATAGCATTTCCATAAGTACATCAACTTCATCATCGTCTTTAAAAAAACATTATAATCTATGTTAACAAAACTACAATATCATGCTAACCCATTAGTGCATTCTCCCTAATATCTATTATCAGTAGTCCTTTATTTGTCCTAAGAAGAGATTGGAAGAGATGAGCAGTGTTTGATGTCAATCCACAAGTTTGCATATCCAGAGCTAAAGCATCCAATGAAAGATGTACTATAGAATTTATCAATCCATACCTTTGATCCACACATCATCTTCCAGTGCTTGTACCAGCAGTGTTGCGCCACTGTCTCTGATATTGGGATTTAAATTGAGCGTGATTCTCTTAAGACCAGATATGCGTGTTGAAGGACTCGTAAAATGACCGCCTCTTAAGCTGTCCTTCCAAACTGAGCTCTGCCTATGAATAGACTGAAACTACAATACATAAAAATAGAGTAAGAGAAAAGAGAGGGAGGGGTGTTCTTGATAATGATAAATACTAATCATTATTACTCTGATCATGTCAGCAATTGCATTCATTCCCCCAGCAGTTAGGTGACACCATGTGAAATCAATCCATTCGAGGCAATGGAAGTTCTTTAAGACTTGACAAATAACTGAAAAATACGTTTAAAAAGGACCAAAAACTTTTACGTACCTGTTAGACCTTTATCGCCAATACCAGAACCTTTTAACGAGAGGTGCTTAAGAGATTGGTTTCTATAGAGACCCTATGATTAATTGAAAATAGATTCAAATATTTGGCAAGCAAACGTGCTCACCAAAGTAAAAATACAACCCTGACATAAAATAGTTAGCATGCAGCATTTAGCAAAGCATTATCATTGTAATACGACATGACTCCAATCAGAAAATTTTTTTAAATTGCTCTAAAATTTGGCAAAGAGCCCTGTACTATAGTACAAGGTCAATGGCCAAATTTTGTCAAAAATGAAAAGGAGAGAATTCTCCATTTTAATAATTTTTCTGATACAAATACATGTTCTTACGTTGTGTAGGAAGTTTGAGCTAATTCAATCAAAATTGGTTTTTTAATGAATTTTTTAAGTTGCTTCAAAATCGAGCCAAAGTCCCTGTACTATAGTACAGGGTCAATGGCCAAATTTTGCCAAAAATGAAAAGGTGAGGATTTTCCATTTTTATAATTTTTTCTGATACAAATACATGCTTTTATGTTGCGTAGAAAGTTTGAGCTGATTCCGATCAAGATTAGATTTTTTACGATTTTTTAAAGCTGTTCCAAAATCGGGCCAAAGTCCCTGTACTATAGTACAGGGTCAATGGCCAAATTTCAGTAAAAATGAAAAGTAGGAAATTCTCCATTTTTATAATTTTTTCTAATACAAATACATGTTTTTATATTGTGTAGAAACTTTGAGCTGATTCCAATCAAGATTAGATTTTTTATGAATTTTAAAAGTTGCTTTAAAATAAAGTGGTGTATCTCTGCTCACTAGAAGACATACATGTAAAACAAAATATCAGTTCTTAGAGACAGGGTAGTACTCTACACAAAATGGAGCATTATTTTAGACTCTATTTACTTTAGCTAGGAGTTTTATAATCTTAATGTCCATTTGTAGGCCCTCAAGTAATAGTGTAGTAAGAGAATCAGAATTGGAGAGTATCGGTCTTACAGATCTAAAATTATAAAAAATACAGATCCAAAATTATACAAATACAGATCTAAAATTATAATCATGCAAATTAAAATAATAATAATAATACTTGTAGCTCTGTATTTTCTTACCTAATGATATCAGTGACTGTTTCATTATCAGTTCTCTTGGCTATCAGTCTCATTGGTAGTCTGGCCCTTACACTACCTTCATCATCTAATGTCAGGAAGAACACAGCAAATATCATTAAATGAGACATGTTACATGTACATGTAAACCGTATTACACAAAACTTTCAAGGGCTATAAATTCTGCGAACTTGCCTAAAAATCTAATCTACTTCGCAGATTTAAATTTTGGGAACTTATGCGGTCTGCCATCTTGTACCGTAATAACTTGATTTTCACAGGGCAAATCTTCAAAGAATTGTGAAATCCACAAAATTTACAGCCCTCCAAAATTTTGTACTATACGGTATTCTATCTACATGTACATACAATGTTCATGCCTATTTATGCTATTATGTTAATAATTCAATCATTCTGAGTTGTAGCTGTCTGAGAAAAAACAGGTTGAAAATCCCAATTTCTACATTAAGATTCTGGGCACAAAATTTAATTTGATTTAATTTGAGCATTTTTTAAATTTGCACTGAAGCGATGATCTTTTTTATCATAATCCCTTATCTACTACTAAATTATGTACTTGTCCTCACCATTGAAGTAATGCTGGGCATTCTCTTCCCATTTATCAGTGAATATAACAGTGTGCATGATCCTGTTGGCTCTCAGCGCAGTCAGCACTGGGCACCAGTCGTTCCGCCTCATTTTATGCACTTGACAATTTAAAAGACCTTCAGCTGCCGAGTCCCTAATCCTAGCAAGGGGGTACGAGTTCTGTAAGGCGCAGAGGCTGTCATAATAAGTACAAAAATCGGTTTGTGCTTTCCTGAAAGCTTCCATTTTGTTTATTTTTCCCGCGGTAGGTGTGGTCATAAATAATAGATATATTAATACCATAGATATTAACTCTAATATCTATGTTAATATACATAGATATTAGAGTAAATGAAACTATTATCTATTATCTATGTTAGATAAAATGTTATGTTAAATTACTCTATTATCTATGTTAATAATAAAAATATTCATTATAATCATTATTTATGGTTAATATTACAAATTAGCACTTTATTTTTGAGCGCAGCGCCCGTGCAATTATAGTTGCTAAGCTACTGTTGCTAAGTTACTGTTGCTAAGTTACTGTTGCTAAGTTACTGTTGCTAAGTTACAGTTGCTAAGTTACAGTTGCTAGGTTACAGTTGCTAGATTACTGTTGCTAAGTTACTGTTGCTAAGTTACTGTTGCTAAGTTACTGTTGCTAAGTTACTGTTGCTAAGCTATTGTTGCTAGGTTACAGTTGCTATGATATGGTTGCCGTGACAATCGCCACCCCGCCCACACAATAAAAATTAATTTTTATTATTTTGATTAATTTAATTTTAATTTTTAATTTTTATACTAATTTAAATTTTTTTTATTTTTAATTTTATTATTTTATTTTTATAATTTTTATTTATTTTTATTTTATTCTATTTGAATTAATTTTTTTAACTTTAATAATATTTATTTAATTTTTAAATATTTTTATTAATAGAAATTTTAATATCATTTTAATTAATTATTTAACTGTTGCTAAGTTACTGTTGCTAGGTTACAGTTTCTAGGTTACAGTCGCTAAGTTACTGTTGCTAAGTTACTGTTGCTACGTTACAGTTACTATGATACGGTTGCCATGACAATTGCCACCCCGCCCACACAATAAAAACTAATTTTATAATTTTGATTAATTATATTTTAATTAATTTTAATTTTTAACTATAGTTTTTAATTTTAATTTTTAACTATAGTTTTTAATTTTAATTTTTAATTTTTATAATTACTTGCACAGCAGTTCAGTTTTATTTTGCCGACCATTTGCTGCAAGTAATAAGCTCATTTCCAGGCAAGCCCAATTAAAACAAAGTCGATCAAAAAACGCCATCTTGTCTTTTGCAACGAGCATGCGCATTTGCATTGTGAGTGAGAACCACATGTCTGTTTGATGTCATGGCGGAGAGAGGAGACAGCTCAGATGAGGAGCCAACCATTGCCGAAGATGTCGTCGTTACCAAATACAAGATGGCTGGAGATATGGCCAACCGTGTGTTCTCTATTGTTCATATGTTCTATTTTTCATTTTCATTCTAGGTATCCTAAAGACAGTGATTGATGGCTGCATTGAGGGTGCTAAAGTACTCGATCTTTGCCAGTTAGGGGATCAGATGATTCTAGAAGAAGCAGGCAAAGTTTTCAAGAAAGAAAAAGAGATGAAGAAAGGTTGTTAATAATTATTTAACCGATAAATTTTTGACCATACGTTACTGTGCTGTGTTTTTAGGCATTGCATTTCCGACTTGCATATCAGTCAATAACTGTGTCTGTCATTTCTCTCCTCTCAAGTCTGATCCTTTAGTAACACTCGTCAATGGAAATCTTGTTAAAGTGTATGTCTGTGTACATTGTGTTTGATATTGGGTGGTGCTTCTTTTAGCAAAGAAATAGTGTGATCATAGTGTGATCATTTTGTGATAACTTTTTAATAGTACTTTATGTGTCAGACCTACATGTAGTAGTGATTAATGTATGAGAATTCTCTTAGCCATTTTTGATGAAATACTATACTATGGTGTACAATACATGGCCTTTGGCCAAATTTTTGAGCAATTTTAAGGAATGTAGTTATAATGCAGTTATATGATGATAAAGTGTTAACACGCTCTCTCAGAAACTGTCCAACAGTTCTTCTTGTTGACCTTTTGTTCTTCACTGATTAACTGCACCATGTCCCTTTGTGGTGGTTGCTTGTTAATACATTACACTGTGTATTGTTCTTTTTATGTGTAGTGAACTAGGGGTACATGTTGATGGTTTTATAGCAGCTGTGGCACACACTACAGTGGTTGGATGTTCAAAAGTAAGATACCCAAAGCATAAAAATTAGCTCACGTCAATTATCTTCTTGTTTGTGGCACGTTTTCTAAATCTTACCCCCCCCCCTTCTCTTTTTCTCAGGATAATAAAGTGACTGGTAGATTAGCTGATGTGTTAATGGCTGGACACATTGCATCTGAGATTGCCTACAGAATGGTAGTACCAGGAGGAGAGGTATATATAGTTATGGTTTTTTTGAAGGGGAGTACCTCTTTCTCTATCTTCTAGAGTCTGGCAGTGACAGATGCCATCAATAGAGTTGGTGCTGATTTTAAATGTTCACCAGTTGAGGGTATCCTCTCTCACAGATTAAAGAAGAATTTGTACGATAGTGAAAAGACTATAATTCTTAACCCCAGCGACTCTCAGAAGTAAACCAATCAATATAATATAACATTGATAGTATAGTTCTGTTAATAATACATTTTAATGATTAATTGATTATTGTTAATGTTATTTAGGAGAGAATACAAATCGAGTGAGTTTGAGTTACACGAAGTATACGCCATTGATGTTATCATTAGTACAGGAGATGGAAAGGTTAGGATATTATTAGGATATTTTGATGCAAAAATGTTGTATTTTTAATAAACTAGTGGAGTTCCCTACAAATTCCTTGTAAATTAATACCTTACTATACTATGTCCCAACTGAGTTTGGACCAAGAAAAACTGGAATAACTTTTTATAGAAATGTGGGATAAAGATGAGACTTTTACAGGTTCTTAGTCGCCCAATGCCGCTTCAGGACCTCAGATCTTGGGTCTCTCAACCCTTAGGAACCCTGAGAACCGGGTTCTCCCTATAGACCCAATGGCATACCAAAGCTAACCGCAATGACGTTCTATGATGTCATAGTTTACATAAGCACATGTAGTGGAGCGCCCAAACTGATAATTCTTCCTTTAAAATGCTAATAGAGCAAGATCTTCTGATAATGATGGCTTTTATAAAGACTAGTTGACTCCAGCAGCTATTGTACTGCTTATCAGGAAGAACAAGACTGTTTTAAGAGTGAAACAACACAGCCAAAATATTGGCCATGTCTCTATGAATATCATTATAACATGTCATAGGTGACGTAACTACATTTTTCAAATTCCAATGCAGCTGCTTTCACTTCCGGTCCATTCTCAGTTGGGACATAGTATATCATATTTCACAAAGCAGTGTAGATTTTTGGTGCTAATTTTTGGTGCTAATTTTTGCAAGTTATTGTTAGCGTCATTTTAATCGCAATGATTTTGATAAAAAATAGACAAATATCATTATGTAAGTAGTGAAGTAAAAATAGCATTAAAAAAAGAGACTGCGAGACAAAAAATTATAACTCGGTATCTAAAACAGTATATTGTCGACCATTGATTCTTTCGTTGGGATTCCTACGTCTCTCTCTTCTACAACACTTGTCACAGCACTTGAGAACAATTGTAATCATAATACTTACCAAGGCAAACAAACAAGAACAAGAGGCAGTAATAAGAAATCCAAGACCATATTTTTTACATTCTTTACACTCTTTACATTCTTTGCTGGTTTCGCATTCTTGATATTGTATGTAACCACTTCTAACAACACTAACGTATGTTGTGTTGTAGCTACAGCCCTTGATCTGAAGTGAGACACGGTCCAATTCAACTCCATTTGTATCTGCCGTTGTAGCTTCTATCACTAGATTATACAGCCCTTCTTTTATACTTATTGAACCTCCAATGGGGCCTGTGCCTAGAAAATCATTCCATAGATTTCCATTACCATAAGCTTCTCTTGTTTTTACATATCCAAGTAGAGTAGTAGTGCTTCCCTGATTCAATGTAAGAGTCAGCTCATCTGATGGACCGTCGTTGCTATAGTAGAGTTTTTCAACTTGTATTTTGCAAATGCTCGATTCACATGTACATGTATTTCCAGTCACTTGAAAGAACAGGGTTGTTGATCCTTCTTGTTTGATGTGCATTGCTATCCCATTCTTAGCATTGCTCCTGTACATCTTCTCTGCCTTAGTGCTGATAGCATCCTCTGCTTGAAGCTCAAACATGAAATCACATCTTGAGAGAGCAACAACGTATAGCAAAAAAACAAGGAATAAGGCCTTTTTCATTTTGACTAGAACTGCTGATTCAGCAAAATAAATGTCTAGTAAGCATCATTGTTTTGTTGCAGAGATGCGGAGGCATTACTCTCTCAAGATTTGATGTGTAAACATTAACATGCCATTGATGTGTATGGGATTTCCTCTCTATGCTAAGTTATGTTTATCATTAGTTGATTTAGTTCCTCTCATTATTACATTTAAATGAAATTTGCTAATGTTTTCTATTTCTATTCTACTTTTAATATGTCACTAGTCAAGACAGCAAGACACTAGGACTACTGTGTACAAGAGAACTGAAGATAATTATAATCTTAGAATGAAGTCCTCCAGAGGTATAGTAGTTATAATACCTTTTAAAATAGAGTTATTGTAATAATGATTATTTTTTAGCATTTTTCAGTGAAGTTTGTAGCAAGTTTGATGTAATGCCATTTTCATTGAGGTACTTCTAGTGGGTGTGGTTTTAATGTGACTCCACCCATACAGATCCTTTGAAGAGGAAGGAAAGGCAAGAATGGGCGTGGTCGAATGTACTAATCATAATTTATTGGAACCATTTCATGTACTGTATGAAAAAGAAGGTATACTTATAGTTACATGTATATCCATTTTAAAACTGATTGTTACTACTGTTAATGGCAGAATGATGAACACTTTCTTTCCCCGACAGAAAGAGTTAGTAGCTCTTCCTTTGTTGATATTTTAACCTGTTACTGACTGCCTATGTACATGTATTTACAATCATACTTGCTAATTTATTTATTGTCATCATAGTCATTATTAATAATGTTGTTATTATTATTTTTATTATTTTAGGAGAATTCGTAGCTCAATTCAAGTTTACTGTATTGCTGATGCCAAATGGACCTTTGAAGTAATGAAGTTCAGGGTTTCCCACAGTTTTTAGTATAGTGCTTAGCATCTTGACGGCAGATTTCTAAAATTGTTCCAAAATTTGGCAAAACACCCTGTACTATAGTACAGGGGTTTTGGCCAAATTTCACCAAAAATGAAAAGGAGAAAAATCTTTTTTATAATTTTTACTGATGCATATACATGTACTTATGTTGTGTAGAAAGTCTGAGTTGATTGCAATCAAAACTTGATTTTTTACAAATTGTTATAGTTGCTCCAAAATTGGGCCAAAGTCCCTGTACTATAGTACAGGGTCGATAGCCAAATTTTGTCAATAATGGCTAGGAGAGAATTTTTCATTTTTATAATATTTGCTGATGCATATACAAGTTCTTATGCTGTGTAGCAAATTTGAGCTTATTCCAATCAAAATTGAATTTTTTAATGAATTTTTGAAGTTGCTCCAAAATTGGGCCAAAATCCCTGTACTATAGTACAGGGTTGATAGCCAAATTTTGCCAAAAATGGCTAGGAGAAAATTCTCAATTTTAATAATTTTTTCTGATACATAATTATACATTTTTTAAGGTTATGTAGCAAATTTGAGCTAATTCCGATCAAAATTGAATTTTTTATGAATATTTGAATTTGTTCCAAAATTGGGCCAAAGTCTCTGTACTATATATAGTACAGAGTCGGAAGCTAAATTTTGCCAAAAATCGCTAGGCAAGAATTCTCCATTTTAATAAATTTTTCTGATGCATATACAATGTACATTTTCTTATGTTGTGTAGCAAGTTTGAACTGATTCCAATCAAGTTTGGATTTTTTACAGATTTTTTAAGTTGCTCCAAAAGCCATGTAGCATGGCGCTGCTGTTTAGCTCACTTACCATGCTTGGTGGGAAACCCTGATTAAGTTATTGCTATACCTATACCAAGAGTGGATAATTATTTAGGGAGAGTGTCTAACCCGCCTATAATCTGTGATACCACAGTGCGTAAGTTTACATAGCATGGTTATTAGCACCAAGTAGCCATTCTTGCGTCCTTATACTGATTCCAAGTCAGAAGGCTGCAAATAAGAAAGAGCCAACCATTAGAAGAACATATTCCCGTCTGCTCCTGCTTGTTTCTCGCACTATATGATCCTCAGAGTGGAAATATAAGTCTTAAAGTTGCCTGCATGCTTCAAGCGCCATTTTATCAGTCACACCCATAAATTTGAAGATTACTGAGATTAACTCTGTATACTTGCAAAAAACGGATGTAAACATACGCGCTGTGGTATCACAGAATATAGGCAGGTTAGACACTCTCCCTAAATAATTATCCACTCTTGCCTATACTTTACTATAATTTGTTCAACTGTAGGCTACTACAAAATCATTGCTTTCTTGTATTTCTTTTTGTTTTATAGAATAACTAATACATTATTTGATCCATCAGTGATTGAGAGTACCAATAAATTAGAGGATGCAGAACTAAAGGTAATGGAGTCACATTATTAGTAATTTAGTATTACTAATTTTACTATTACTATTATTATTATTATTATTATTATTATTATTATATTTTAGACATTATTAGCAACATCAGTGTCAAAGAAAGCTAAGAAGAAGAAGAAAAAGGCTGGAAAGTCGTCAGCAGCCACAGATGAAGCCGAGACAGGAACAAATGATGACTGAGAATAAGTTTAATTGATTTATTTATAGATTAATTATTGTTTCCTCTACTTGTTACAAAGATAATTTATTTTGTTAATATCAATTGTGTGCTAATACGTATATGACAGGAGTGCATGGTGCTTCACACACTCTTGATTGTGGTAGTTGCATCTGCTTTGATTGCATATTGTAATACTAGTTACTAGTTAGGCAAAACAAGATCACTGTTAATTAGAAAATAGTCAGTTAAAATAAGAACTAAGCAATCAAGCTCTAACTATAAGTAGCCCAATACCTTATGTGGTCTAATTGGTCTTTGGTGTATTGTTCTTTTTATATGTAGTGAACTAGGGGTACATGTTGAATTTTGATGGTTTTATAGCAGCTGTGGGACACACTACAGTAGTTGGATGTTCAAAAGTAAGATATTTCAAATTTAAATTGACCCACTAATATTATCTTACTCCCTCTCTTTCTCAGGATAATAAAGTGACTGGTAGATTAGCTGATGTGTTAATGGCTGGACACATTGCCTCTGAGATTGCTTACAGAATGGTAGTACCAGGAGGAGAGGTATATAGTTATGATTTTTTTGAAGCTGAATACCTCTATCTTCTAGAGTCTGGCAGTGACAGATGCCATCAATAGAGTTGGTGCTGATTTTAAATGTTCACCAGTCGAGGGTATCCTCTCTCACAGATTAAAGAAGAATTTGTATGATAGTGAAAAGACTATAATTCTTAACCCCAGCGACTCTCAGAAGTAAACCAATAAATATTCTGTATGCTAATAAAATTATGCTATAATGATTATTTTTTTAGGAGAGAATACAAATCGAGTGAGTTTGAGTTACATGAAGTATACGCCATTGATGTTATCATTAGTACAGGAGATGGAAAGGTTAGGATATTTTTACGACCTAGGGGCGAAGCCCCCAGGTTGTTCCTATTATTGATTTCACCGTCGCGCTATCTATATTATTTATTTATTTGTATGTCCACACTTACATTTCTTTTATGCATGTTGTATTGGAGAAATAACAAGCCTTAGCAACCACCTGCCCACGCTCCTTTACGTTAGTGGGTGTGGCCACGGCAAACAAAATGGCGGCTTACACGGGACAAAGTTATGAGCTTTCTAGCAGCAAGAGAACATAGAGATACTGTCTAAAGACTTCTCTAGAAGCATTATAAGGTAGAGAGAACCTCTGTAAGTCTTAATAAGTGCCCAGTTATGCATGCAAGGTGGTGAAATCAATTATAGGAATATTTTTACACTAAATCTAAAATTGCACACTTGTAGCTAATTAAAGTACCGTATAAGTGGTTTTTTTCGAGGGAATTATATTTCGCGAAATCTGCTAAAATTCCAATTCGCAGATTTTAATTTCGCGAATTCTACCACGTGTGCCATGCGGGTACCGTATTAAATTGATTTTCGCGGATTTTATTTTCGCGAATCACGAGGGAATCCGCGAAATTCGCGAAATTTGCAACCCTCGAAAAAACCACTTATACGGTATTACAGTATAATTAAGAGGTGTGACCACCAATACCTAGCATGTCAGGTCATTTGGTTCATTCACTGGTTTTTAATTTTGAATTTTGATGGTTTAATTGTTTTTACATTAACGGGAAAAGTTTGGTGAATAAAACTATAACTAAAACTAGAAGCACTGGAAGAATAAAACTAGAACTAAAATACAATTTTGAAGTGATAATAGTAATTAAAACTTAAAATTAAGGAAAAAGGAAACTAAAAATAAAATCATTGTACTATACTAAAACAGCTTTGCAAAGTTTGTGGGGTGGGCATAAAAATTAGATATTACTGTTAATCTCTACTAATTTCATATTTTTCCTTTCTTTCTTTCGGTCCCAACATTTAAGAATAATTGTCACAAAAATAGCAGCAATAGCGATACAGCAAGCGATCGTGCCAGTTACAACTGTTCCAATCCCATAATTTACTAATTTTTCACAAGGCTCACAGACACTGCATTCTTGATATCGTATGTAGCCACTTTTAACAACACTGACACTTGTTGTACTATTATTACAGTCCAAGATCTGAAATGAGACATAATCCACTTCAACTCCGTGTTCATCTGCGATTGTAGCTTCTATGACAAGGTTATACAGTCCTTCTGTAATACTTGTATGGCCCCCAATAGGACCCGTGTCTTGAAAATCGTTCCATAATTCTCCATTAGAACTAGCTTCTCTTGTACGAATGCTTCCAAGCACAGTACTGCTGGCCTTGTTTAAAATAAGAGTAAACTCATCTGGTGCACCATCATTACTGTAGCGGAGATTTCCCACTTGCATTCGACATGTATCATTCCCAGTCACTTGAAAGAACAGAGTTATAGATGCTCCTTGTTTGATGAGAGCTGCTATACCATTCTTGGCATTGCTCCTGTACATCTTCTCTGCTTCCGTGCTGATACCATCCTCTGCCTGAATCTCAATCGTAAAATCACATTTTGAGAGAGCAACAATATATAGCATAAAAGCAAAGGATAAGGCCTTCTCCATTTTGATATTACTTGTCAATTCAGCAAAATACTGTAAATTCCTAGCTAACCATTATTTGTCATAACATTTAACATTTCCTCTATGCTAAGTTATGTTTATTAGTTCCTGTCATTATTACATGTTAATGACAATTGCTAATGTTTCCCATTTCTATTCTACTTTTAATATGTCACTAGTCAAGACAGCAAGACACTAGGACTACTGTGTACAAGAGAACTGAAGACAATTATAATCTTAAAATGAAGTCCTCCAGAGGTATAGTAGTTATAGTACCTTTTAGAATAATCTTATTGTAATAATGATTATATTGTTTTTATTTTGTTTTTAGCATTTTTCAGTGAAGTTTGTAGCAAGTTTGATGTAATGCCATTTTCATTGAGGTATTTCTAGTGGGTGTGGTTTTAATGTGACTCCGCCCATACAGATCTTTTGAAGAGGAAGGAAAGGCAAGAATGGGCGTAGTCGAGTGCACTAATCATAATTTATTGGAACCGTTTCATGTACTGTATGAAAAAGAAGGTACATCTATACTTATGATTATAGTTATTTTATAATTGATTGCTACTACTGTTAATGGCAGAATGATAAACACTTTCTTTCCCCGACAGAAAGAGTTAGTAGCTCTTCCTTTGTTGATATTTTAACCCGTTACTGACTGCCTATGTATTTATAATTATACTTGCTAATTTATTTATTGTCATCATAGTCATTATTATTAATGTTGTTGTTATTATTTTTATTATTTTAGGAGAATTCGTAGCTCAATTCAAGTTTACTGTATTGCTGATGCCAAATGGACCTTTAAAGTAATGAAGTTCAGGGTTTCCCACAGTTTTTAGTATAGTGCTTAGCATCTTGATGGCAGATTTCTAAAATTGTTCCAAAATTTGGCAAAACACCCTGTACTATAGTACAGGGGTTTTGGCCAAATTTCACCAAAAATGAAAAGGAGAAAAGTCTTCATTTTTATAATTTTTACTGATGCATATACAAGCTCTTATGCTGTGTAGCAAATTTGAGCTTATTCCAATCAAAATTAAATTTTTTAATGAATTTTTGAAGTTGCTCCAAAATTGGGCCAAAGTCCCTGTACTATAGTACAGGGTTGATAACCAAATTTTGCCAAAAATGGCTAGGAGAAAATTCTCAATTTTAATATTTTTTCTGATACATAATTATACATTTTCTTAGGTTATGTAGCAAATTTGAGCTAATTCCGATCAAAATTGAATTTTTTATGAATATTTGAATTTGTTCCAAAATTGGGCCAAAGTCTCTGTACTATATATAGTACAGAGTCGGAAGCTAAATTTTGCCAAAAATCACTAGGCGAGAATTCTCCATTTTAATAAATTTTTCTGATGCATATACAATGTACATTTTCTTATGTTGTGTAGCAAGTTTGAACTGATTCCAATCAAGTTTGGATTTTTTACAGATTTTTCAAGTTGCTCCAAAAGCCATGTAGCATGGCGCTGCTGTTTAGCTCACTTACCATGCTTGGTGGGAAACCCTGATTGAGTTATTGCTATACCTATACTTTACTATAATTTGTTCAACTGTAGGCTACTACAAAATTATTGCTTTCTTGTATTTCTTTTTGTTTTATAGAATAACTAATACATTATTTGATTAATCAGTGATTGAGAGTACCAATAAATTAGAGGATACAGAACTAAAGGTAATGGAGTCACATTATTAGTAATTTAGTATTACTAATTTTACTATTACTATTATTATTATTATTATTATTATTATATTTTAGACATTATTAGCAACATGAGTGTCAAAGAAAGCTAAGAAGAAGAAGAAGAAGTCTGGAAAGTCGTCAGCAGCCACAGATGAAGCCGAGACAGGAACAAATGATGACTAGAATAAGTTTAATTGATTTATTTATAGATTAATTATTGTTTCTTCTACTTGTTACAAAGATAATTTATTTTGTTAATACCAATCGTGTGCTAACATATATGACAGGAGTGCATGGTGCTTCATGCACTCTTGATTGTGGTAGTTGCATCTGCTTTGATTGCATATTGTAATACTAGTTACTAGTTAGGCAAAACAATGTCACTGTCAATTAGAAAATAGTCAGTTAAAATAAGAACTAAGCAATCAAGCTCTAACTATAAGTAGCCCAATACCTTATATGGTCTAATTGATCTTTGGTGTATTGTTCTTTTTATGTGTAGTGAACTAGGGGTACATGTTGAATTTTGATGGTTTTATAGCAGCTGTGGCACACACTACAGTGGTTAAGTAAGATATTTGAAATTTAAATTGACCCACTAATATTATCTTACTCCCTATCTTTCTCAGGATAATAAGGTAACTGGTAGATTAGCTGATGTGTTAATGGCTGGACACATTGCCTCTGAGATTGCTTACAGAATGGTAGTACCAGGAGGAGAAGTATATATAGTTATGATTTTTTTGAAGCTGAGTACCTTTTTCTCTGTCTTCTAGAGTCTGGCAGTGACAGATGCCATCAATAGAGTTGGTGCTGATTTTAAATGTTCGCCAGTCGAGGGTATCCTCTCTCACAGATTAAAGAAGAATTTGTACGATAGTGAAAAGACTATAATTCTTAACCCCAGCAACTCTCAGAAGTAAATCAATAAATAGGGACAATAACTCTTTATGCTAATTATGCTATCATGAGCTGTTGTTGTTATTGTTCTTGTTATTATTATTATTATTATTGTTATTATTATTGTTTTTTGTTATTTGTTTGCTTTAAGAGAGGATGAAAAATCAAGTGCATTTGAGTTAAATGAAGTATACACTATTGACATCATTTGTACAGGAGATGGAAAGGTTAGTAATTTATTGGGATATTATTAGGATATTTCGACACAGAACAAATGACATTTGTTACTAGTTGCACTTATTTGCAATTACCAAAAAAAATAAAATTAAAGTATCAACAAAGTTTGTGGGGTGGGAATAACAATGAGATGTTACTGTTAATCTTCACTAATTTCATATTTTTAGTTTCCTCTTTTTCGGTCCCAACATTTAAGAATAATTGTTACACAAATAGCAGCAATAGCGATACAGCAAGCGATTGTGCCAGTCACAATTGTTCCAACCCCATAATTTTCTAATTTTTCACAAGGGTCACAGGCACAGACACTGCATTCTAGATATCGTATGTAGCCACTTTTAACAGCACTGACACTTGTACTATTATTACAGTCCAAGATCTGAAGTGAGACATAGTCCACTTCAACTCCATATTCATCTGCAATTGTAGCTTCTATGACAAGGTTATACAGTCCTTCTGTAATACTTGTATAGCCTCCAACAGGACCTGTGTCTTGAAAATCGTTCCATAATTCTCCGTTAGAACTAGCTCCTCTTGTACGAGTGCTTCCAAGCACATTACTGCTGGCCTTGTTTAAAGTAAGAGTAAGCTCATCTGGTTCACCATCATTACTGTAGTGGAGATTTCCCACTTGCATTCGGCATACATCATTTCCAGTCATTGTAAAGAACAGAGTTATAGATGCTCCTTGTTTGATGAGAACTGCTATACCATTCTTGGCATTGCTCCTGTACATCTTCTCTGCCTCAGTGCTGATACCATCCTCTGCCTCAAGCTCAACTGTGAAATCACCTTTTGAGAGAGCAACAACGTATAGCATCATTAGTATGGTAACAAAGAATAAGGCTTTCTTCATCGTGATAGTATTAACTGACAACAAAAGAATGTCTAGCTAAGCATCAATGTTTTGGCAGAGATACGAAGTGAGGTATGTCCGTGTAATCTGTTTATATAAACATTAAAATTTCCTCGGTGCTTTTCCCAAAAGTTATGTTTATCATTAGCTCCTCTCATTATTACATTTTAATGACAACTGCTAATGTTTCCCATTTCTATTCTACTTTTCATATGTCACTAGTCAAGACAGCAAGACACTAGGACTACTGTGTACAAGAGAACTGAAGATAATTATAATCTAAAAATGAAGTCCTCCAGAGGTATGATAGTTATAATACCCTTATTTTATTGTAATAATGATTTGTTTTAGCATTTTTCAGTGAAGTTTGTAGCAAGTTTGATGTAATGCCATTTTCATTTAGTGGTTGTGGTTTTAATGTAACTCCGCCCATGCAGGTCATTTGAATTGAAGAGGAAGGAAAGGCAAGAATGGGTGTGGTCGAATGTACTAATCATAATTTATTGGAACCATTTCATGTACTGTATGAAAAAGAAGGTACATCTATACTTATGATTATATTTATTTTATAATTGATTGCTACTACTGTTAATGGCAGAATGACGAACACTTTCTTTCCCCGACAGAAAGAGTTAGTAGCTCTTCCTTTGTTCATATTTTAACCTGTTACTGACTGCCTATGTATTTATAATTATTACTTACTGATTTATTTATTATTATAATCAGCATCATTATTATTGTTATTATATTATTTTGTGCTTTTTTTTATTATTTTAGGAGAATTAGTAGCTCAATTCAAGTTTACTGTGTTGCTGATGCCAAAATGGACCTTTAAAGTAATGAAGTTTAGGGTTTCCCACAGTTTTTGATATAGTACTTAGCATCTTGACGGCAGATTTCTAAAATTGCTCCAAATTTTGGGCAAAACACCTTGTACTATAGTACAGGGTTTTTGAAAAAATTTTACCAAAAATAAAAAGGAGAGAATTCTTCATTTTTATAATTTTTATTCATGTATATACATGTATTTGTGTTGTGTAGAAAGTCTGAGTTGATTCTTGTCAAAACTTGATTTTTTACAAATTTTTAAAGTTGCTCCAAAAGCCATGTAGCATTGTAGTGCTGTTTAGCTCACTTACCATGCTTGGTGGGAAACCCTGATCAAGTTATTGCTATACCTATACTTTAATATAATTTGTTGAACTGTAGACTACTACAAAATCATTACTTTCTTTCATTCCTTTTTGTTTTATAGAATAACTAATACATTATTTGATCCATCAGTGATTGAGAGCACCAATAAATTAGATGATGCAGAACTTAAGGTAATAGTGACTCATAAACACAGTGACATTATATAATATTAATATTATTATTATTACTATTATTATTATTATTATTATTGTTATTATTATATTTTAGACATTATTAGCAACATCAGTGTCAAAGAAAGCTAAGAAGAAGAAGAAGAAGGCTGGAAAGTCGTCAGCAGCCACAGATGAAGCTGAGACAGGAACAAATGATGACTGAGAATAAGTTTAATTGATTTATTTATAGATTAATTATTGTTTCTTCTACTTGTTACAAAGATAATTTATTTTGTTCATTAAAATTGTGTTAAGTTGTATCTGTGTGTGGCCCATGCTAACATCAATTTTGGCACCAGTTTACATGTACTTTTAAATTGCTAAAACAAAATCAATAACATAACAAAAAAGAATGAGACATTTTTGTAAGAAAAAAGATAACATTTAAAATCACTTAGTCAAACGGTAACAATACTATTCACTTAATAATTTGCCTCCAAAATATAAAATGGCAAGAGTAGCTAAACTTACAAAAATTCCACCACCAACAGCAACTGGGATGCTAAGACCAAGACCAAGAGTCATACCACAACCAACACCAATGCCAGCACCGGCACTTACAAGAACAGCAGCAGCCCTTTTCACAACAGTGCTTGCAGATGGTTGTGAGTTTGTAGGTGGTTGTGAGTTTGTAGGTGGTTGTGAGTTTGTAGGTGGTTGTGAGTTTGCAGGTGGGTGTGATTCTGGTGTTTCCTGTGGATTGAGAGAAGATGGCATGCCTGTATCATAAGAAGGAGGCTCTGCACTATAAGGGGGAGGAGGAGAGCGATGCTCATGTTGATAAGTTGATGAAAGACATGAAATACGAGATGAATAGCTAGATGACTCCATGGATGAGATAGGATATGGAGGAGGGATTGGTGAAGTATTAGAATGCTGAGAATGCTCTACATGCCTTCTACGTCTGATACCAGTATTCTCAGCTTCAATGACATTTTCAACAGGAACATTATTTCCAACAGTAGAAATAACAGGAGCAATGTTTTCCATGTTTTCAATGGGAGCAATATTTTCATAAGAATCGTTCTCGTTACTAGATTCAGTGATCATGCTTACATCACTTTCCGAGTTTTGCCTTTGGAGCTCCGTAACTTCCAAATTAGTTTCCAAACATAATAAAGCATTGCCCAATGAAATATACTTCATTCTTCCCGTTCTTTGAAAACCCATCTGAATTATATTTTGTAGGGCATCTAATAAGTTAGAGCGAAATTGTGGATGGCTTGAGAAAACGATTTGCTTTGTGACTATGTTGTTTGCTACTTCTTCATCTACTCTCATGCTTTGTATCAGTTTATCCTTGATAGCTTTTTTCCAGTCACTTTCGAACGTGTCGGCAACATTTGATTCAGATTGAAAAGCTAAATCACATTTTGTAATGATAAAAATGACGTCTTCCCACTTGTTAAGCGAGTTGCAAACTTCAAAAGTTGTGTGTGTGTCTCGGCTATATATGCTCTCATCCCAGCTTAAGCATAAAAACACACAGCAGGTGTCATTTTGGATACAAAATCTATTAACTTCACTTTTCATCTCTGCAACATCAACCCTCAAATCTCCGAGACCGACCGTATCGTGGACAAAATACCCTTGCCCAGTGTTTGGCCCCTCCTCGACGATGAGCTCTGTTTTGATGTATTTCCATTCTTCAGGACCCGGTGAGTTGTTGATGCTCGTTCTGATTGCAGGCCCAGACCTATCTTGTATCCTGCCTCCAGTTATTTTTCGAGCAAGTGCCGACTTCCCTGCTGTAGTTCTTCCCAGTAGCAGGAAATGTGGAATTGCATTTGCTTCTGGGCTAGTTCTTATTTCCTCGGCTTCTTGGAAATCTTCTATAGTCAAAGCACGAAACATTCTGGTTAGAGCATCTGTGTTTGAATCCATGCGTACGTCTCTGAAGTCTCCTACTCTCTGCTGCT